GTTTTCATTCCTTAGCTATAAAAGTTGAACATCTTATAAATTTTTAACTACAAAATAATTATTAAATTTTTTCAAAATTTGAACTTTAAATGCTTATAAAAAAAACTGTGGATATGTATTTTTTTATCAACTGCTATTGTAACATGATATCAGGAGCCTTGCATTATATTTTCACGTTTTTTTACCCAACAAATAAAATTGTCTTGATATTTATACGAAAAAAAACTAAACAATTGAAAACTGACAATGACCGTAAACAAATCAAAAAAAGTCAAAATATTTTCAAAATGTTATGGTATATAGAAAATGAAAATATAAACATTCAGTAAAATATCATGTATCTACAATTATTCGTTGTTGAATAACAATAAAATAACAAAACCGATACATGAGAAATCGAGTGAATATCCAATATTGTAAAAATATGTACTTCAAACGCTCATAAAAATTTAATTTGCTTTGCTTGTAGACATTTTTATTTTTTGATAAAGGTAGACAAACTTATGACTAATCTTGTTATATATTTTCAAATCTTAGATTTAAAAGGGAAAATTTTTATGAATTCTCAACTCAATAATTTTCTAATTTTCGTGATTTTAATATTTTAATATTTTAAAATTCGTGACCTTTAAATGCTTATAAATAAAAACTGTAACTAAGGATTTTTAATATTTTTCAAATGACATTGTAACAATATAGTAGGAGCCTTGTATTCAATTGTCAAGCCTTTTTACCCAACAAATAAAGTTTTCTTGACATTCACAGAAAAAAGACTAATAAAATTACAAACAGAAAATGTTCCTAAACTGCAGTTCAAAACAAATCAAAATAGTTTTAAAATTATATCGTGTATATAAAATGCAAATATAAACGACCAGTGAAATAATGTAGTACGTTAATTTGTTTTAGAAATCGATTTTGTGGAAAACCGATTTTGCGTAAAAATTTCGGTTTTCCTTAATTTGTATGTTGTTTTTTCCGGCGCTTTTGAAAACTATTGGGAATTACTATTTGGCCATTTAGGAACACTCAGAATCTAAAATAGACACTGTCGGATTCTCCTTGAACTTCATTTAATTTGTTTGCTGCATTTTCACTATCGCAAGACTTTCAATTATTGTTAGTTTTGATGTTTCTAATTCTTTATTACCTACTTTGACCAAGAGAATTTCGCGGAAATATGTGCTAAATGATAATTCAGGTCATTATTTTGCACTTTTGCATAATATCAGTACCTAGCGTTTGAAATAGCGATTGCAGTTGTAGGTATCTGAATTCTGAATCAAGATTTTAAATATATTCTTTATTTTTTTCGAAATGGTTAGAAAAGTATTCGACTGCTGCTAACCAAATGCCCCACCGAGTAATGACTGATTCAGTTGAAAGTCATAAATTATGATATAATTCCTTAAATATTATACTTTTTTTTACCGTCACGATTAATCAATCATTAATGAATCAACTAAAGGAAACCATTATCTAACTGTATCAGTTAGTCAACTGTAATCAGCTACATGGTGAAATCCATGAACTACACAGGTCACAGTTGGAATTTAAAAATATTATCATATATAGAAAATGATAAAATAATAAACATTTGATGAAAATTTCAAGTAGGTACCTGTACCTACTATTATTAGTTTTTAAATAACGACAAAATAAGAAAATCGTTGTATGAGAATTTGTTAATTTATGGGTCATTAGGTGAATATCCAATGTCTAGCTCCATTTTATTTAAAACAGGTAAAATTGCAGCTATTAAAAATGTCAATAAACGAGAAAATAGGGCATATGACTTGCATGTTAGTTACACAACAAAAAAATATAGGGAAAAAGTTCGTAGATTATTATTTAGGTCCATTTAATACTATGCCACTTGTGCTGAAAAAAAAAATTGTTAAAATAATGTAAATAAAAATAATTATGATTTCAAGAAAAAAACTATTGTAAATTGGTTGTTACTTGAACTTTAACTGCTCTGCTTAATGGGGTAAATTAAATAATTAATATACTAAATATATACTTATAGCATACCGTGGTTGTGGCTTAGACAAGATAACCCATTTCTGAAAATACCAGCACTGAGTACTCAAATATTGAAATAGGTTGGTCGTTGGTACATAATAAAAGTATACTTAAAGTATAAATATGTAGGCCGCGATTTAAGACATTTAAGAAAAACAACGTTAGGAACTAACGCTCCAGCCTCCAAGCGTGGTTAATATCAATCAACGACCTATTATATTAAACCTATTATTAAATTAAATAAGTATAATTACTAACAATAATAGGACAATAGGTAATAATAATTAAATTAAAATAATAAAATAAATATTATAGCTATTATATATTAATATTGTATATATCATGAAAACTATAATTCTAGCCTTCATGGTAAATATAATATTGATATATTTTCTAGTACCAAGGGAAATTACTATAATGCAAAAGTGCTAACTAATCAGTAACTGTAATTCTTGCTACCTATGACAAAATCGTTATTTTGTGCAACAAAAAATAAGTTTCATTGATTAACCAATAACCTGTATATTAACCATGAAGATTAGAATATTCTAGTCTCCATGATATTAACCTGTATATCTTTAATCATGGTGCTGATCATAACAAAAAAATATCTAATAGATCTATTTTGTCATGGCCCTGATTTAATAAAACCACAGATTTCTATACTATAAACTAATAAATTATAAGACCATAAAACAATAGATAAAACTAACCTAATATTTGCAGACAGTCTTCAGCACGATTCAAGATATAAAATATATATATATTATAAAATCGTGTCTCCAGTCACCGCCTAAAATATAGTTTATATGTAATCATGTGATATTTTACCATTAAATAAGAATTCAACACGTCCATTACTATAGTGACTTACTCAATGACGAAATACACTATACAGTGGCATACACACTCACTGTACAGTGTACAGCGATTACCCACTTTCCAGTTTTCATTAATCAGAAAAATATGTAATATAATAATTTACTAAACTGTACATACTATTACAGGACCACCGAGCATTAATTATACTGTTTACCAGTAATATGCATATTTAAATTGCAAATAAATTATGAATAATATTATATTTAAAATTTGTTGTATTCAGCCCATTTGAATATTGTATTTACAGAACTTAAATATGCCATTCTGCTTGTTTGTGAGGTCTCAGAAACCAATGATAAATGGGACCAAACCTCAAAGGAACTTCAAGTCTAAGTAAAAAAAATACTTAATATTTAGATGGAATGTTAATTTTCAAATTTTCGTTCTAAAATCAATATTAGGTATGACGAGTCTTACTAATTGTTTTAAATTTAAAATCTCTATAGCTAGCATTTTAAAGCATACCAAACATTTTAAAAGGACCTTCTGTCCATCAAAGTTATACAGAGTGTAAAAGGAGTATATAACAAATATACATAGAAACATTGCCCAATATTATAGGCTATAGCCCTGTTACACCTTATATGTCAAAATTCAGTCAGGCATAATTATAAAATGTAATATAATGGGTATATTCGTTGTTATTTCGTTAAGAGGATGTCACACCTGCATGTGTAGTCTCCGTCTTAAAAATGTACAACATAGCAAAAACTGTTTTGAGCGGGACAACTTTTATCTTCCTGTGTTTGTAGTAGTGAGTAGTGACTCCAAAATTTTTGAACATATAGAGTGGAAAATTATCTATGCAATAGAGTTCCCATATTTTAGATAACATAAACACAATAAAAGTTATTTGCTTCTAAATATTTGGTTTTTTTGTATTTTTCATTATATTAAAAATGATTGGATAGTACTATTAAAAAATAAAACACTGTTACAGATAAATTTCTTCTTTACGTGTTGTGAAAATTTGGTAGTTCTACAACAAATATGGTGCGAGAAAAGTAGTCCCGCTCAAAACAGTTTTTGCTATGTTGTACATTTGTAAGACAGAGACAACACATACAGGGTGTTACATCCTCTTAAAGTAGACAAATATTTTTTTAGTTTATTATATTTAATATTATATTAAACGGTTATTGTAAATTTGTATTTTACAATAAACAAAACTGACTAAGTAGTTGGAAGTCTTCACTCTTTATTGATGAAAACATTCAGTGTAGGTACTTAATAATGTTGGGTGTCAACTTCAGTTTTTATGAAGGTCACAATACCATTTGCGTTTTCAACGTCTTCCGGGTTCCTGGGATGCAATCAACGGATAATTCGGATCTAAGAGGATTGTGGTGGTTGGATAACTTGAAATGGAAGTGTTTGTAGAAAGTTTTTGCAATTTTAAGTTGATGAGTAAAATTTAATTTAATTTGTAGATTTAATTATTACATATTTCAAAGGCTGGACGAGTAAATTCTAGCTAATTGGAATATTTTAAATTTTGTTTGGACAACTTAATTTGTATTAACCACGGTTAAATTAAAATTCAGTTAAGTTTAATAAGTAACATTTAATAATCTATGGTCTTAACATAGAAAATGTTGTCACAGAAATCTCAGATTAAAATTCAATTAATTTTATAAGTAACATTATGGTCTCAATTTACATAAAATTTGGCACATCCCAATCTACTATGATAATATATATATATATATATTATATACTTTTTTAACTGAGTAGAAAGATTCATTTATATGTCCAAGATTGTATAATATAAGTCATATATACTTTCATGATACAAATGTCATGAATAAGTGTATTCTGTAATGGTAAAATGTAATTTATTTTTCTTTAATAACGGTGTAAAATTTTTTTGTATTTAGTGTAATCATTAGAATATAATATAACCATTTTCAATTTAACTATTGTGTATAATAATAATACCAATTACAAAAAATTATAATTTTTTTTTTATTTCATTTGAATATCATGAAATCTACCGTTAAAGGAGTTTTATATTGAAGAATGTAAATATGTTTGGAGTTTAATTATTTACCATTAAACAATATTCTAAAAAATGGCACTAAATGAAATTACATTTATGCTTTTGCAGCTAATGCTTGTAAATCTACCATGCATTTTTTGAAACTTTGCTTTTCTTGTTCATTTGTTAAAGACTTCAGAACATTTTCAATGATCCAGTTAACCATATGTCTTTGTTGTACAGTACGTGTCAGGTTAGCCAAGTCCAATTGATAATCCAAACGCCTTTTTACCTTTAAATAAATAAAATATTATAGACACTAATATAATATCTTTTTACTATTAAATATAATACCTGGTTGTAGGCTTGAAGAGCTCTTTCACGGTAAATAGCTTCCAACTGAATAGCAACATTCTCTCGCTTAGCTTGAATTACATGTTTTTGAGCTTCAGTTCTCCATACTTCTGTTTTTTGGTTTTCAATGCTTTCTGTTAAACCATCAATCTCTCCTTTACGACTAGCATTACAAGATGCTTCATATTCCTAAATAAAATAAGATGTATTAGTTAGTTATTAACTTTCAAGAATTTACTTAAAATAATTACAATCAATACATACATCAATTTCTTTATCAAGGAAATCAGCTAAAGATGCTCCAAATTTCTTCCATCCAACATAAAATAAACCAATTGTAGCTAATACATAGGGGAACTCATGTTCAACTACCCATATTTCTTTACTTAGTACATAGGTTGTGATACCAGCAGCAAGAACATATGGACCTAGAGAACAATTTTGTTTTTATGAAGTTATAATACAATTTTTATAACATTTACATAAAAAATATAAAAAATAAATAGTTTTAAGCACAGAAAAATGTTTAGTTAATGATATCTTTAAGAATATTTATAATAACATAATATTTTTAATTATTATGGTAAACAGTATGATTCTTTTATCGCAGAACACTTGATATACCTTAACGGTTCAACTACCCTAATAATATATCATATGTTTGCAATTAGGTTTATTACTATATTCTACTGTCCTACAATAAATCATCATGTTGTATACGTATAGAATAATTAAAAATCCATATTAGGAACGAATATTTAGTTTAGATTTATGATAAGTTACGAGTATGTATGTAAAATAATAAAATAAATAAAATAATACAGTTAAACAATGACATGTTCATAATTCGCTTAAAATTCCATCTAGGCAAACACAGTTTAGGTTCTCACCTAGGAGTTGGATAATAGGTAAAATCATTCTAATATTAAAGATAATAACATACATTTTCAAGATGGAGATAATATTTGTGGGTATGACGTCCTCGTAAGTGAAAGCTATTTTCTTAACTACTTTATTGGGGGACATAATGGCCAAGCAGACAACGGTGTTGGTTGTAACGCGCACCGTCGCCGATTCAAATCTTGGCCACGGGCGGCATCGTTCTCTGTCCCCCTACTGGGCGTGACAGAAACCTACGGGTGCCCAAATAGAAGTTCTGCCAAATAGGCGTACAAACTAAGCCTTACTTCTACTCCCAGACATAGCGCCATACAAAATAGAATAAAACTACTTTATAACATATTATCCACTAATGTTTTACAGTTTAAATAGAAAATCCCATGTAACATAACTATCTAGTAAGGCTGGCAATGCTGCTAGATTTACAAATTCTAAAAAGTAAAAATTTTTATATTATAGGTTAAATTATAGGTACAAAATTCAGCTTCAGATATTAATTACATGAAATCAGATGTTGATCTAACAATTTTATTTGATTAGTGCGATATGCACAACAAGAAAAATACTATAGAAAAAATGTACAACATCTATAATGGGGTAATGTTTTATCATTACCTGTGACTCCAGTTTTTTTGTAAAATACTTCAAACCATTCTTCGGGCACGAACAAATACCTAGTTTTAGCTGGTTCTTCCAACCTCACCATTCTGGGAAAGTTCACCAAATCACGTTCAGGACCGTCAAATGGATTTGGTTGAGGTAAGCCATTAGGTTTTGGGAATCCCGGTACAATGATTGATTCATTAGTGCTAGTGACTGCCGGTTTGGTTTGAGTGGTGCGCACGGCACTAGCACATAGTGGTGCTACTCGGAACAGTTCTGTAAAAACCACATTTCAAAGAAAACCATTTGAATATGTAACGTAATGAATATTTACCTGAACGTAGAGCTAATCTGGACAACATGGTTGGTAGTTAATCTTTTGCCCGTGCCTTGACTTAAATAATGGACGATGGAATCCCAATTGTCGCAGGAACGATGATGGACGATGCAAATAATGGTGTACGGGTGAAATGATATTAGACATTTTGGTAAGGTCAATAACGATACGATGGAAAAACAGCTGTTTAAAATTTAAGAACTGTGGTATCACCGCAATACCGCATTTTGAGATAGATAAGAATGTCTATGATAAAAATACGAATACCACGATCAAGGATAAATACATAGACAAGAATACTAATATTCGATATATATAATAAATATTCGATTATTCCGATTATACCCATAATTATAGAAATATAGAATAGACTAGAATTGACTATGATTATCATTATACTAATTATTATAGATTTATTAATTATAATATTTGATCATAATCGAAAACCATGATAAATATTGAATACCTACTAACAATTCATTCTTGAGTTAAATCTATAATATTTGACAAGACTTAGTCCGTGCTATGTGCCTATGTGAGGAGACTTTATTTATTATTAAGTCCAAAAAGGGTGTACCATAGAGCAACATTACTCTATGAAGCATATTAAATGTTAAATTAATATGTTTTAATACTGTTATTGTTACATCAAGGCCACACCAATGGAGTGAAAAATAAAACTGCCACGACCCAATAACCTGGCCGCCTGTTTTGCATTGCTTTGGTGTGTGGTGTGTGCCCGGCCTTAGGCGCATATCAATTTTGAACAACAGTCCACAGAGTACAGATAAATCATCAATAGGTTTGTTCCAGCATAGTGTTGCAAGTGGTTGCAAACGTTCAGCGCATGCGCAATGTCAAAAACGTGTTCCAGCAGAGCAAATTTAAAACATCCAACAAAATGTTTTCTGTTCCATCAGTGCTGCAACATGTTATCGACTTGTTGGAAACAATAATTTTCTGTTGCGAGTTATACGTTTAGTCTAATGTTTCGCGCATGCGTACAATGCAAAATATTAATTATTGTGATATCTTGATTATTGTGATATAATGTTATCTTGTTTTGACAGTTAGCTTAAAAGTTAAAATACTATTTTATATTTTTATTTGACAGTTAGCTTAAAATACTATTTTATATTTTCATTTTATTTATTGATTGACATTTTGAGATGGATTTGGAATTTTTCGACTCCTCGTCCTCTTCATCATCGTCCGAGTCCGACTATGAATTTTTATTTGGTAGCGACGACGAAGTATATTTTGAAGACAGAACAAGACCGAAAAATCAGAATTATTTTGAGACTGTAGCAAGGTAAGTAAGCTTTTTATAATTACATTTAAGTTAATATTTATAAATTTTCCTTGTTGAATAATTAACACATGGTAAGCAAACATCCCCCTCTCGGGTTTAAATTGTAACTTTTTTATTTTTCTAAAACCTAGGAGTAGTTTTGGTAAATTTGTTGCTGAATATTTATTTGACAACATAAATTATTATTTTTTTTTTTAGATACAACGACTTAGAGTTTTTGGAACATTTCCGGGTTAGACGCCACATTGCTAACAATTTGACCATACACTTTGAGGAAAGTCCAGAATTTAATGACACAACTGGAGGACATGGAAAAATACCTGCCTACAACCAAGTAAGTCACTATCAACTTACTTATTTTCTCTAACCTAATGTCCTAAGATAAGAGTTAAATTCTTATGTTGTAAATAGGATTAAAAAATTTATTTATAAAACTTATCTAAGAGACCTTCAGGGCCGTCCCGAAGGGGGGTTTTAGGGGGTGTCCCACCCCCCTGAGCGTTTAATATGTATAAGTCAGTTGGCACATTGATACCTACATTAAGTATTTGAGTTGGGCAGTTGGCACTCGGCAAATTATAATTTTTTTTTACAGTTTTTTAATAATTTTGTATATACTACTAAGTCCAAATATATCATAATAATATATTGTAATTTATAATAATATGAAGGTATTATAAGTTAATTTTCCGATTGTCAACTGTCCAACACAGTTAGTACTATTATAATATTTTAGACTTTACCTATCAATGTATCATATATAATATTATAACAGTATACAAATTTGCCTAATATTCGAATATATTATTAAAAATATTCGAATAATCACAGAATATATGAAATTTCATAATATATTATATTCTGTCGTAAAATCATTGAATTCTTTTTAATATAGCTGTAATGATAACTGTTAAGGAATTGTGCGCTGATTTTAAAAACCATCATCGTAAAAGATTAGCTCCTAAACGATATGATTGTAATGCCACAACCCAAGCTGAATTCACATTGCATCTATTTTATAGAAAAGAATTTAAAATGGTTCTAGATACCCTATTAAAACTAACAAATGATAATTTAAAATCATGTATTTCTTCTATTCAACCATTTTTTGTTGATGTAATAAAAGAACATAGTAAGAACATAATAAAATATTTAATATTGTGTAACATTTGTCTACTGACTACTATGCATGTAGTCTGCAGGTAGGAGGTAATTGTCCAGCTAACCCCCATGATTTGTCTTTCGGGACGGCCCTGCAGACCTTATCAATCTATTTGTATAAATAAAGGTGTTAAATTATGTATTAAATTAAATTAAATTTATATATATTATGATTATTATTATTTTGATTCTGAAACTTATCTTAAATTGTTTTTTAGATTTTAATTTTTCTTTGGTTTGCTGGACATCAGACTGCCTCTTTCCGTGATGTTGCTGACAGGTTTGGTATAACAATAAGCAGCCTGTTCAGAGTTGTGAGACGTCTGACACATGTTATAAGCCGTATGGCTAGTACCATAATAACTTGGCCGAATGAGGAAGAAAAAGAGGAAACCAGGAACTTTTTCCAAATGAAAGGATTTCCTAATGTCATTGGGGCTATTGATGGAAGTCATATACGTATTGACAAACCTTCCTCAGACCCAGATTCCTATTATAATAGAAAAAAATATTTTTCTATTCATGTATGTATTTTTTTGTATGTATTATTTTTCTTACAGAATTTTAATTATAAGTATATTGTTTACAGATGCAAGCTGTTTGTGACCATAGAAATAAAATAAGAAGTGTATTTATCGGGTTTCCTGGGTCAGTCCATGATGCCAGAGTTTTTAGGAGGTCACCATTAGCTACTAACTTGGGAATTCTATGTCAGGAGAATGTGATTCTTGGAGATAGTGCTTATCCTTGCTTACGCAATCTTATTACACCATTCAAGGATAATGGTAGATTGAGCCGTCAACAAATTAACTTTAACAAAACACTATCATCATGTCGGTACGTTATCGAACATTGCTTTGGTTTGCTCAAGCAGAAGTTTAGGCAACTTTACCACTGCAAGCTGCGCAAAATTGAGCATATAGTGCATTTCATCAGAGCGTGTTGTGTATTGCATAATTTGGCAATTGACGATGAATTTCAAATAATAATTGAAAATGAGGATGAAATTAATAATGGCGATGACATTCAACTGGATGATGGCAATGTTGAAGGAGACATCCCCGAAGGAACAACCTACAGAAACTATTTAATGCAAAGAATGTTTCCATAAAACAACAGTTTAATTTGTATGTTTTTTGTGTGTAGTTTTATTTATTTTATTAAGAAAAGTCTAATTAATTTAGAATGTTTAATCAAAAATTAAGAAAATATTACATAACATTATATTTAAATTTGAGAATCTTTATTTCTTTCCTTGATTGTGGTTACAAATATTTAAACAATTTCATTAAAATTTACCATACATTTTATATCATTTAAAAAAACAAATTCAGTCTGAATAACAATAAAATAAACCTCAAACACATTTCTTTGTGTACAAAACAAACTTATTAATAGATAAAAAATATTTAAAAAACAAATTCAGTCTGAATAATAATAAAATAAACCTCAAACACATTTCTTTGTGTACAAAACAAACTTATTAATAGATAAAAAATATTTAAAAAACAAATTCAGTCTGAATAATAATAAAATAAACCTCAAACACATTTCTTTGTGTACAAAACAAACTTATTAGTACATAAAAAATATTTAAAAAAACAAATTCAGTCTGAATAATAATAATAAAAATATTAAAAATAACAATAAAAACCTTTAACACATTTAGCTTCTAATCCCAGTTAAATAGATGTTTGATTTATCTACTATTATTTGTTAAGTAGGTACTCCTTGAGCAGCTTATTTTTTTCCTCAAGTAGATCATTTTTCCTTTTATGCTCAGCAATTTTTAAATTTTGAATTTGAATATAATTTTCATAAAATTTTTTTTTGTCGCTTCTTATACCTTCGAGTACATCAGTTCTGGTTCCTTTTCTCTTCAAATTTATTGTTGTCTTTTTAACTGCTGTTTTCCTCTCATCTTCAACAGACCCAGAAGCTTTATTTATAAATTCATCTGGTTCATCAATCATTTCATGTACACTTCTTTGCAGTGTTGGTGTGTCATTGCAGGCTCTAGGAGTATTCCTTATAACCTCAGTCTCTGTCAACAAAATTTCAGGGTTTATTCTTTTGGATTTGTGAAATATATTATCCATCTGCTCTTCAAATTCAAAATATTTCCTCCCTCTTCCGGTTTTCTTATTGTTATCAACAACAGCTTTATAAGATCTTATTAATGTCTGAAATTTGTTATTCACTTGTGACCCAGTTAATTTTAGTTGAAATTCAGTGTTTAAGATCTCAGCAATTATTTCATACAAAATTTTGTAACTCCGAATTCTACTTCCTACGTCTTTGTAGTTTTTACCATATTCATCAATCAGTCTGAGTGTCACATTTCTAGACCAATGTGTATATTCAACTGTGGTTAAATTTGAATTGCTTGGAGTCTGTGGAGGATCTCGCATCACAATCATTTCACTTAATTCTAAAACAAATTAAAATGTTTATAATTATATATACATAACTAATATACTGAATAGTGAATAGCAGTGGCGTATTCACGGGGGGGGGGTCCATGGGGTCCGGACCCCTCCCATTGACTCGTGTCTCGTACATGTGAAATGTTGTGCAGTTTTTACATGATTAAAAAACAAATTTTATCATAGAATTTTAAGGATTGTACCTATAAAAAATGTTCGAAGCTATAGTTATATCAATATTTTCAATAAATATTGTGATTATTTTTATCAGTTGGGTACCGGAAATGGTTGAAAAATACCAAATTCATTTTTTAATTCAAATATTTTGTAGTTTTGTACATTGCCAGTATCTACAACCACTCCAGAGAGATCTTTTTCAAACTTTTTAAGGTTGAAAAGCTATCTAAGATCAACTATGAATGAAGTAGGTACCTAATGTAATTAAGGAAATATTTGTATAAAAGGTATAACATATAACTATATATTCGATTCTGAGGGATCTATTGGTTCTACAATGGTGTTTATTTTTTTTTCCTGTATACAAAATTTCTTCCAGAAGGAGTGCTTCGATTTCAACATGTATAGACATATAGTAACTTATCTTTTAGAAAATTGGATCAAGATTACTATCTTAGAGAGGTCATTTTTTGATTTTCTCAATAGTTATTTAATGCCACTGTAAAAACCATAAAAAATTACGAAAAACTGCTAAAAATGGGATTTTAATTTCTAACACTTTGTCTATCACCATAGAAAAAAATAAAAAATAAAAGTATTTCATTATTAATTCAACTAACAGGCTATAATAAAAAATAACAATATAAAATATCCAGACTGACAAACCGTCTTCGCTCAGAATCGTTTTTCTTATACAATGATATTATATTATATCATTGAGTTCAAGTTTAATACAATCCATTATACATTGACCCACTTGTAACCTACTGTACAGCAGCAGAATAACATCCACTCACCCGCTTTTTTTTAAATTTGTTTTGTACATATTATTATTTAATAATTAAAAACTCGACAATTTTATATCGTCTTATAAATATGGTATATTTTATTTAATAAAGAGTAAATGGGTGGTGTGGGGGGCTTCGTCCCCCGTGGCTCTGTGTTCTGAAAATTATCTGGACCCTCCCCATGACAAATTCCTAAATACGCCACTGTTGAATAGTACTGCGTTGTAATACTGATTAGTACAGAGCTCGTCATAATAGCACAAAACTGTTTTGTTTGTCTTACAATGGACATTTATGTTTTCAAATTAATTACATTTTACTAACCTGTATAAACCCTTTCCATTTTTTGATGTTGTGTTGGTTGTAGGTACCTACGTCTTGTACTCTTGTGTAGTAAATAGCAGTTAGCACTTAGCACGATTAATCGTGATAAAATATGATAATAGTGATAATACAATTTTGGCGGCAAGTGATAAGAAATACCGTATAATTGATAAACAACCTACGTTACCACAGTAATATACCTTGGTAAATGGTAATAACCACAACCGAAAACTTTTTTAGAAAAAAACTGTTCCAGCAGATCACTGGTTGCAAACTTGTTGTGTTAGACGCATGCGCGTTGATTTCATGTTGCTAACAATTATAACTAGTTACCAACACTATGCTGGAACAAACCTAATATAATAAAATATCAAATCATTGGTGATATTTCCACTAGTGGTTTTGAACGGAAATATTATTTAGATTTAAACAAATTCGATAACGGCAGCGCCATCTAGACATCTGTGCTGCCAAATCATTTTCAAGTCGAACGGCTACTCCAGTTGATCAATTCCAAGGTGTATTGTAATTCCTAGTTAGATAGCCCTGTCATGTACGATCTACAATGATGAAAAGGATGACGATTGAGGGCTGGAGACTGGAGACATAATATGACCAGTGGCGTAGACAAAATTTCTGAATGGGAGGAACAAAAAAATAAAACGTATATCTAAATGGGAGGGGGAAATTGGAAAATATTTAACAATAAGACGTAACAATGAATACAATTTGAATTGATTCAAAATTCACATAAAACACAATAATTTGGAAAATGTTCCACTCCAAAGCTAATGGGGAGGAGGGTCTGACCCCCCACGTCACCCCTTGTATATCAGTATATGACTGAATATGACATTGGCCCACTCCCCACTGTGCAAATAGCACACGGATGCCACAGCACGGCTGTCATATAGTATGCGGTCTACCGGTGAATTTACGAGTATAGTATGCGGTCTACCGGCGATTTACGAATATAGTATGCGGTCTACCGCGAATAAATAAATAAAAAATATAAAAATAAAAATATCATAATATTATAGTATAATTATTGTAGTAGTAATGTCTAGTCAAAAAAATTGTTGTCAATGAATATAAATAAATATAATATAATACGTTGTACAAAAACTTCCGCCATATCTCTTAAAAATGCATTAAATAAATCTGATTTATTTATTCCTCGCCACCATGTTTCCATGAGATACCTGCAATAATATGTATAATATAATATTACATTAAATTTATTAAACATAACTTATAATAATTTTACCTTGGAAGGAGATCAGGACTTGTACCACACATATTTTTAACTACTTTTAAGCGTAATGGTCTCCATAGACTTTCGATCCTCTGAGTGTGCGCTTGTGTTAGTGGATCAACAAAATTTTCGATGTGGTTAACTGTGTTATGCGTAAAACCATATTGGGCGATCCCATTATACGCTGGCCATCCATCAGAGTGTATAATAGAACCCAATACAACCTCTCTTTTAATAATGTCATGCAAAGTTTGCTTGTCCCGCTTTTCGACTTGTATGATGACATCAGGTCCTCCAAATTTATTACGTTTTTCGAACATTTTTAGTGGTATATCCCGACACAAATTCATCCAGTCACATACGGTGTTGGACGATCTTCCAGTTAAGGACATGATTGTTTTATTGAATAAACCTTGAGTCCAGTAGAACACTAGTTCTAACTGTTGACTGAGGCTTAGTCCACTATTTAGAGACCATTCTTGTCAATATAAGTCCAAAAAGCATTATCTTTCCTATATAATAGTATAATTGTTAGTAGTATAATTATTATTAATAGAATAATTTTCTCACCTTCAGGTTTGTGTTGTTTTACATCCCTTTCTCTTACAACGTAAAACTCTCCTTTCCTTACCTCTCTCCTTACGACCTTACGTAGGTATAAATTCATAGCACTTCCGCACTTATTACATTCGGCATTTTCATTATTTGCCACAAGATTTTTGCTAATTAAAAAATTTGTGGTTGATTCGTCACTACTAATTATTGAATAAAAATCTTTTGCCAACATATTGGGTGTATAAAATATGGTGTTAAAATGTGATGTCGTGCAATAAATGACATACTGAGCTATTGAGCCAATACTTTTACAAAATGTTGAAGTATTGTTATCTGTGTATAATGCAATTAAGATAAAGTATATCTAAAAGATAGAAAAAGATTAAAGTGTATCTATTAAAAATAAACTTAAGCCTATGTAAAAACCGCAGGTAGACCGCATCCTACAGCGGCCGGTAGAACGCATTTTCCGGTAGACCGCATACTATATGACAGCCGCACAGCACAGTAACCCCGTCCGTCCCTGTTTATTATTTGAGCATTTGGATCGAAAATTCAAACGAGTTTAGTGCACAAGTGTACTGTATTGAGTTCAGTGTTTCAATGTCATTTCCAAAATATCGATAATTCATTGACGAAACGTACCGATATTTAACGATATTTCCATTTCAGTCCTACTGATACAAAATATCGGTCCCCATGTTTCAGGTCCGTGTAAGATAAAAATAGTCTATACATAATATGCAATGTTATTATATTATATTGGTGTTTCCATTTCTAAAAAAAAGTGATTTTTTTTAATGTATTTAATATTTCAATATCGAATATCTATAGTAACTGTCTACATTGTGCCTTTGCCTTCATTGCTATTTGAGAACATTAATTTATACAGAGTGATTCATTAAGCGTAAAACACTCTTTATCTTAAAAAGTATTAATTCTTTATAAGTAACTTTAATTATGATATATTTTTTTACAAAGTTTTGAGTTGTTAAAAAACAACGTTTTTATTAAAAAAATATATTTTTTTAAGTTTTTTACTTTTTTGAATAATAGCATACAGTTTTAATTTCATATTCCAAAGCAGACATTTTTTTGAGTATTTTGATCAATACAAATCGAATTTAGGGCGAGTAGCTTATGAGTTATAAGTATTTAAAGTTTAGATGGACTGAGCGTGGAGTGGTATGGTTACCCCGCAAAATGTTTGTCCACTACTTTGGAACCTTCTATTAAATTTTCAAGCTTTTTTACGCAACAAATAATATTGTATTGATATTTATAGAATAAAAAACTAAAAAAATTGGAAACTGAAAATGTCCCTAAACAGCTCAAAATAAGTCAAAATATAAAAAAAAAAAAAAGGCATGGTGTATAGAAAATGCTAACTTTAACAGTCAGTAAAAATTTCATGTATCTACGGTCATTTGTTTTAGAGTTGTACCAAAAACCAAAATCGATTTTCTAGAAAACAGATTTTGCTTAAAAATTCCCGTTTTTCCTTAATTTTTTTTTTGTTTTTTACGTCGCTTTTGAAAACTACTGAGAAATTATTACTGTTGACCCCTCAAAGTACCAACTAGATTCACTTTCCTATCAGAAAAGATACTGTTGAAAAAAATCCAAGCACTTTTACTGTCCTAAAAAATGACGACAGACACAAAAAAAATTAAAATTAAAAAAAAAAAACACACACATCATTGTAAAATCAATACATTAATCGTTTCACTCAGTATCTAAAATGGAAACTGAAAATATCCGTCCTATAAACCTGTGTACCTTCTACAACGGAGTTAGATTCAAGCGTATGTAGTACACTATTTTGCGACTATATAACAATCTTTAATTTAATAATTATATTAATTATAATATTATTCTTTATTGTCTATGATCCGCACTTATAGTAGTCCGTGGTCCTGGCGCAGATCCAATCGTGTTTTACTATCTCAAGATAAGATAATATGAATCACGGACTAAGATATACAGGACTGGACACGACAAGGTTGGAGGGTGTGGGGGGGTTGACTACGAATTGTTTTACAACAGGCAGTGTTCGGGGGGATATTTTCCTTTTAGCATTACTAGCGCCGTCTTAGTGGATACTTTTGGAACTAGATGACAATAATGTGATCTAGTTCCATAAGTATCCACTAAGACGGCGCTAGTAATGCTAAAAGGAAAATATCCCCCCGAACTCCGCCTGTTGTAAAACATTTCGTAACCACAATATTCATCTCGTGACCACGATTTAAGATATACCTTAAGGTTAGGGATTTAAGGTATATCTTAAATCGTGCTCGTGACCAGTCCTGTATATCTTAGTCCGTGATATGAATATAGTCAGATAATGATAAGAAAATTAATGTTTATTCTATTATTTTGTGATATTAAATATTAATTAATATACCTATAAAAATCTATCGGTCTTATTTATATTTATTCATTATTGTTACATTTAATGATATTTCAATAGTTATTACATTTATTTATTCAATCAAAATCGTTACTAATGAACATCAAAATAAATTAAACGTACAATTTTAGTATAACCATGGGTTGGAATATTTATAAATTGTTGTGTTGCTGTGGCAGTTCTAATGAATCAACTAGAGTCGATTTGGTAAACTGATTTTAATATTTATTTTTATTTTGTAAACATAACACATAGATATTTACATAGGCAATTGTCCGAGAACAACAAGCTGCAGCTGCTGAAAAACGTTTAAGAGAACAAGAAAGCCGAGGTATTAAGAATCCAGATCGTGTCAAACGCATGCAACGAGAACAACAAAAACGTGATGAAGAAGCTAATAGAACTGCCAATATGGGGACTGGTACTGGATTAAAGGTATTAATTTTCATTTTATACCTAGGTCATCAAAATTCACAAAATCTAATGAATATAAAAGAATAGTAAATTATCCAGTTCAATCGATCATAATTGTATGATCAACAACATGATTGTTGTAACTTTGATAGGCTATCTTGTTATATGCGCTCTACCGGCTACATTGCGACTGCATTATGAGCTCTACCGTGTTTTACCACTCTACAATATTATATTTAGATTTTAGACAATAATATATGTTCTCGTAATAAGTGGGAGCGATGATGTAAAAGTGGTGTTAATGAAGATCTGGAGCAATGAAGCAAATCTGGAGTTGTACCACACATATTTTTCACAATTTTTAGCCTCAGAAGCCGCCATAAACTTTCAATCCTTTGGTTATGTGCCTTTGATATTGGATCTCCGTGGTTCGAGAGTCCATTATACCCTGACCAGTTATCGGAATATATTGTAGACCCAACAATAACCTATCTTTGTATAATTCAGTGCAAAGTCATTTTGTCCCTTTTTTGGACAACGACAGCCGAATACCCATGGTCCATCAAGCCGTCTTCCATAGTTTCTTGCTCCGTTTTCTAGAGGATCAACGACTAAATATGCGATCAAAAATTATATGATGCAGGAAAAGAGAGTCCTAATCTTTATTACCACATTAATAAAGTTATAATTTGCATAGTAGAGCGCATATATAACAAGTGTCCCTTAATCGCAGGTTGACCACAATCTGGGGTAGAGCGCATATGACAAGATAGCCCTTTGATAAACTTATCTGTGATTAATAATTATTAATTTAAATTACCTATTTACTTATAATAATATATTAATTATAATCAGACTCAGATCTAAGATTTGTTTAAGAAGTTTTTTATATTAACAACAATAAATACAATTATAAATATTAAAATAGGTATCAAATATTGTATCCAAAATAATAGTTTTACACTAGAATTTTTTTTTTGAAATCTTATTTGCTTTACATTCCAACATTTATTTAGCACAATTAAAATATTATTCAACATTAATTTCATAAGAATTCATAATTTTATAAAATATAAAATGTACTGACTGTATACCAGTATTAACTATGAAGAGACAAATCCTTTACCAAGATAATTATCTATGAATCGTACATGACTTTTGAAGCCCAAGTCCATCCATTAATACAATTTTAATAATGGTGTATGAATATAATATTATTTATTACCAGGTACTATGGAGTTTATTGTATTATTTCATTTACATTTTTATAATTATCTTCTATATTGTTTCAGTGGCAAGTCAGTTAATTATTCAAAGTATTGAAGTTTATACTTCCATCAGCAAAATATGTATTTATTAATTATTTATTAATCTATTAAATTATGTTTTAATTATAACTATCTGTAATCACTTATGTATATAACCTGTAATATTCAACTAGTTATAATTTTAGTTTTTATAAATATATTTTTATCAGTTCATATATTTTATTATACCATTTTTTATTGTTCTACAATTATACTATATTTTAATATTATAATATATTACTTATTACAAATTAAAACAATTATTTAAAAAACCACTGATATCAATATTTTAAGTGATATTATTATCCAATATATATAAACCTCGTGTCACGGTGATATTGGTCAAACTTCTCTTCGCTGATTTAAATGAAAATTTTTTTCCATATTTGATGGGTATGAGAATAGGTCATAAAATATTTTTCACCCTCCTAGGTCCAACCCGGGGAGGTGCTCAAACAGGGATTTTGAGATTTACAATGGAATTTTTTTGTTTATAAATGTTTGATATTGTTTATAGAATAAATAATTAGTATTTATTATTTGGTTGCCATTGGTTAATCAGGCAGTTCTGGTGCAAGCATGCATCAAATGCATCAAATCAAAACAAATTTTCGCACATTGTCCGCCATCCAACGTAAACGGATTGCCATCCAGAGAGGCTGATTTGCACCCTAAAGGAGTTGAACTATCGCAATTTTTTTTACGGGCAACAAAGTGTGCGGAACTAGCTAGTATATTATAATACATACATTGTACATTTATTATTTTATTATAATTTAAAAATAGTAGGGCTAACTTAATATTTCCGATTGTCCATTGAAAATTAATAATGCAATGCAACTGGTCTATTTATGTACATAGATATGAAGATATTTGCTGTCAGAGTATTTAATGGTTTATTATAATAAAATTAAAACAACATTTGAAGTGAAAAATAGCTTTTTTAATATGTTGCAATTACAAAACTAGTATAAATAGATAATATAAAATGTACTAAAGGAAATAGTTTTGTGATTTGATTTTCAATTATTGAGGAAAATTATCACAGTCAACATTAAATATTATTAGTTATAAAAAGTAACCAAAATTTAATTGAGTCAAATACTGTTATACAATTTAAATAAAGCTATTTATAATTTGATTTGTCTGGGGTACTAGGCATTTGTGTCATATTTGAATTAATTTCTGAAAAATCAAGTACAATTTGCTGTTTAGATGGAGTGTGTTGTCTGAAAGATACACCTGATGCTTTAAACATCCTTTTAGAGGCAATCATTTCCGGTTTGAAGCTATACTTATCTGACAAATACACTACTTCTTTAATACCTGATTGGATAATTATTTTTGCACATTCATTACATGGAAAAAGTGCCACATATATGGTACAATTACGTACATCCATAGAATTTTTATTTAATACAGCATTCATTTCAGCATGGCATACTGAAAATATAAATGAGGATCAAATCTATTATTTTAATATTATAACATGAAATAAATACACAGATTTCTATACAGGGTGTATCTTATGTCATTGTACGCGGGGTTTTTTGACGATTACTGAACGATGATATGGAATTTCGTTAAAACGAAAAAAGACGTGTTTCTTTATTTTTAACAAGCAATTTTATTATAACAATTTCAAAATTTTTAAACACGCAGGTGTACCAATAGCAAAATCAACTTTTTTTTTTCAAATGGTAACCACTATATTTTTTAATGGATTCTGATAAAGCTTTTTTTTCTGAACATTTTGGTAGTTGAACCGTCAATTTTGGTTGGCTAGTTTATTAACTATGGCCCTCCAAAGATTAGTAAAATATGCATTAATACTTTTAATTAAAATAATGGGTATAGGTTAAATTTACAAGCACTAAACAATTTTTTCTTATAACTATCATTTGATACACTACAATTGTTGAATCGGTAATCTAATGACACCCTCAAAAAAAAAAAAAAAAATAACAAACATAATTTTATTGTTTGTAAACATACTTCATTATTTTTATTTTAATATACGATCATAAAAATCAATATTATTATTTTAATTTATTATTATAATCGTAATTAATTACTTTACATATTTTTCATCACAGTTACTTTTCTTACAATATCATAAATTTGAATTCTTAATTAGGTAGGTAGCTATGGTAATAATGGTAAATTGGTAAATGGTATTCGATTGTTGACATTAATATGTGCAACGAAAAAAGTGCAATGTTTGTGGTGCTCTTTTCGTAGTGGTATAAAGTATAAACGTGATGTTTTAACCATAGATTCCCTAAAATGGTATCGCATCCAAATTATGAACTTAGGAGTTGTAATTCATCCCTTTCCATCCTTTTTAGTTTTGGATATTAAAATAATAATATTGATTTTTATGATCGTATGTTAAAATAAAAATAATCAAGTATGTTTACAAACAATTATGTTTGTTATTTTTTTTTTTTTTTTTGAGGGTGTCATTAGATTACCGATTCAACAATTGTAGTGTATCAAATGGTAGTTATAAGAAAAAATTGTTTAGCGCTTGTAAATTTAACCTATACCCATTATTTTAATTAAAAGTATTAATGCATATTTTACTAATCTTTGGAGGGCCATAGTTAATAAACTAGCCAACCAAAATTGACGGTTCGACTACCAAAATGTTCAGAAAAAAAAGCTTTATCAGAATCCATTAAAAAGTATAGTGGTTACCATTTGAAAAAAAAAAGTTGATTTTGCTATTGGTACACCTGCGTGTTTAAAAATTTTGAAATTGTTATAATAAAATTGCTTGTTAAAAATAAAGAAACACGTCTTTTTTCGTTTTAACGAAATTCCATATCATCGTTCAGTAATCGTCAAAAAACCCCGCGTACAACGACATAAGATACACCCTGTATAGTGTGGTACACTGGTACAGAATTCTGTGAATAAATGTAAAGATTATAACTTACCATAGAAATATTTGTTTTCTAACTTTGATGGATTATTTTTACCCCATGGAAATTTATCATCGTCACATCCAATAGGCATTCCATTATATCCTGTGCCAACAATTTTTTTGTCTGGAGTAACAATACATGCACCAACTTGAGTTACTGGATCTTTACTACGTTTAGCAACCAAAAATGCTGTTGCCATAAAAAAATCATCCCAGCTTAAATAATTTTTTCGCTTTCTAAAGTATAAAATTGTATAACATTAGACAATTGAATTTATATTGTAAACAATAATCTTACTCATTTAACTTCTCTGTTTCAATACTAGTATTATTGGCTGTAACATTATCATAGTATTGTGTGGTTTCATTAATTGAGCGAATTTCAGGTTCAGATTCATCGGTATTAATTTGATGTTCCATATTAGATTTAATCAGCACTTTTTGTACCTATAACACATTGATTATATTTAGTACTACTCTATATTATACACTATATTATTTCATAATGATATGGACATTATATACAGAAACCAGTATTAAGTTGGGAATATAGATCAGTGGACATTGCAAATGATTATTTTTTTGCAGCAACTAAAGTAGCATAACTTATTATAATATGAAAAAACAAAAACAAAAACAATTTAGAAATTAAAATTATTTTAGTTTCATAAATTAAATTGTTTTTATTATTTAAAATTCAATTATTAGGCTTTTTAAATTCTCAACCATCAATAATATATTATAAGTAATTCAATTACCTAATTCGACTACAGAAGAACATTTTTTTATTAGCTTTTATCAGATTAAACAAATATCATAATGTCATATACTCATATACATTCATAAATAACAATACAATCTTATATACCTAATCTAGTACTGTCAAATAAATATTTAAAATATTCCAAACATAATTGAGATTAATTGCATTTATTGTACAAAAAAATATAAAAGTACCTACCGGGTACGAGAGATTTGTATACTTAAAGTTTCACCAAAATTAAATTACGAAATTGTTATGTCGATTGTCGACTGTCGAATACCGTCTACGGTTTGTCGTTAAATTTAACACCTGCGGAGTACTGGAGTATCCGACCGTCACTAGCGCAGAGTGCAGACGAAATAAGAAGGTATCATAATATTGTGATCACAACACAGTGCCCCCCACAGGTCGACCTGGTCCATATACCATAAATGTCTATGACCGGGTCAGTGTCTTTGATATCAATCTATTTATCTATCTATATGGTGATTTGCAATAACGAGAATCTGGGTGGGAGTGTACCCACTGCGTCACCGTTTCATTGGTTGTTGATATTGTAAGATTATGAGTTTATGACATATCAATTAAAAATATAAGACGATGAAAACTAAGACTACGGAAACTCTTCCCAGTGCCCAGTTCCAGTTTTCAACCTTTAAGAGCGCGACTGGAAAAAATTATTCACGTTGTGATCATACCTGATTATTTCGTCATAGACAAAAGTAGTTGGCAATCGGTAAAAATATCCAAATTTAAAAATGTAATAAAACGTTTTTCAAAATATATGCAAACGATTTAAAATATAATAAAATAAAATGTAAAATAATTCAATGACGTAAATAAGGTAATAGATAACACTACTTTCTAAAAATATATTAAATTGAAAAATTAGCTTGTAAAATTCATTCAACCTAATTACACTGTATTACTAAAATTAAAAATGTAAAATAAATTACTAATTTGTTTTTAGAAATACAGTACCTAACAGAAAACACACAATAAAATAAAATATAAAATAATTTACTAAAAAGAAAAACACTACTTTCTAAAAATTTAAAAAAACGTTTCTTAAAATAGAAAATGTTATTTTAATTTTGAATAAATAAACAATAGCATTAAAAAAAAATGTAATACCTTTATATATTACAGTATAGATACAATAAGTGTCCTATATAATATGTGTGCTCTAAATAAGCCTTTTAATCCACGTTTGTTTGTACTATCTCGTATTCTCGTTACGTCTTCCATACTAACAATATAATTTAATTTAATAAGTATCCAGCGCGACGGTAGTGACGCAAAGCTAATTAAAAAAAAATAGCGGAGTAACCCACTAACGTATAATAACAGGAAACCGAGTTTTAACATTGAAAAATCGTCCTAATTTATGTCAATTCTTTGCCAAGCTCTACAGATCAAACGGCTGAACATATAAAGTCGTATGGGGTATCAATCAATCAGAAATATTGTGCAGATGGGAATAGAGGAACTCGCTAGCAGATTGGTTTGATAGTTTATAAGTTATAAGCAAAAATATTCAACAATTAAGGTCGGTGGCAAATCATATGCTAATGCTATTGATTCTGTGATTTGCCATCATGATTCATCTATGACTCAAGTCTCAAGCCCATTACACATCAATTATTAAACATAATAATAAAATATGGGTTAGATGTAACGATATAATATGTATATTATAGTTTTAGAAAAAAAAAAACTAAAATAGAAAAAAATGTATAACAACAGGAGACCAACGATGCATATTATATTATGACGATCCATGCTATTATGGATTATTGTTATTATATACAGTCAAATAAAATAGCTACTTATTTCATAAAAAAAATTGCTGATATCACACCAAAAACATTTCGTCATAACTCCGTGTAAAAAAAAGGTAAGTTAAAAAAAAAAAAAAGAATCTTGTCAAATACCTCATAAGTCTACCTTTATCAAAAAAAAAATGTCCACAAGAAACTCAAATTAAATTTTTATGACCGTTTGAAATTCATATTTTTACAACATTTGATATTCACTTGATTTCTCGTGTAACGATTTTCTTATTTTGTTGTAAATAAAAAAACGAATAACTGTAGATACTTGAAAATTTCACTGATTGTTTATATTAGCATTTCCTATACACCATACAATTTTGAAAATATTTTGACTCTTTTTGAGCTGTTTACGGACACTTTGTTTTAAATTTTTTTATTCTATAAATATCAATAAAATTTTATTTGTTGGGTAAAAAAGCTTGAAAATTTAATGCAAAGCTCCTGATATATTGTTACAATAGCAGTTGAAAAATATTAAAAATATATAGGAAAAATTTTTTTTTTTTATAAGCATTTAAAGTTCGAATTTTGACAAAATTTATCAAATATAAAATTTAATAATTATTTAGTAGGTATAAATAAACATTTAAAATGTTCAACTTTTATATAGCTAAGAATTAAAAATATATATATATCACGGATGCTCTGACGGATCGGATGAGAGTGTGACACTGTGACAGGGACTTACACGTCTAGATCTTTTGTGTGTAGTAGTTTACAATGTTTACATAGACAAATTTAAATTAATCTAGATGATGTGATCGATTGTTTCGCGAAAAAACTAATAGACTTTATACTATAAAAATATTTAATTTAAAATACACATTTTATCACACGTCATGTAAGTAGTCCATAAAAAACATTATTTAGATAATTATTATAATATATAAATTTCTTTTTCAGTTGGTATTTTTATATTATGAAAATATATAATTTAGTTTTAAACCCCTCACGAAAATTTGTTCCAACTGCGGCCTTGAAGATAATATCAAAATGTCACGAATATCCCACAAAAAGTGTATAAAATTCAATTAGAATTAAGTAAAAAAAGTGACACAAATGTAATATTATCAGTTATATATTATTTAACTTAACAAACAAACTAACTTTAAGATTCTGAGGGGCTGAGGCTTTTTAGTATACATCGAGTATACATCTTTATGAAGATGAAAGCGACGACGAAAACCTCATACGAGTAGTTGCATCTCTTCTGTCTTCCGTTGGTATGGATACGGCTTCCAGTGGCGACATGCAGTCCCCAGGGTCAGAGCCAGAAGAAATCACTTCGATTCCGGACGACGCTCCACTAGAAGACGCAACTGGAAGGGACGACGCTCCACTAGAAGACGCAACCGGAAAGGTCAACGAGAACGAAGAACACTTTGAGGAGTCAATTGTCTTGCACTGTGAATTTCCGAGTGGCGATGCGCTGTCTCTCGCAGAGTCTGAGCCTGCAGCTCCGACCCCCGGACGGCACCACTCGGATACACGGTCCAAGAAAACGACGGTTCGACAGAGTCATCAGTAGTTAAAGAGGAATCCATGGTATCAGCCTACAGTTATGCGCATTCGGGTGGCGACGCACCGTCCTCGAAGTTGGAGACTGTCGGCCCAACTCCGACTTCCGAGGGCGGACCTCACGACGACGTAGTGATGCCTGTAACTGCGGAAGACGTAGTGATGCCTGTAGCTGCAGAAGACGTATTATGTGCAGAAATTGAGCAGCCGGCCAAGGAATTGGCTGTGATGGATAGTGAGCTGATCGGCAAGGAGGACCCTGCAGTATAGAAGGCGAAAAACGAGTTTCTCCACGTAAAAAATCGACGTGGAAAAGTGTAAAACGTGTTTTTCGCTTGTTGTTCTGCTGCGACTGTAAAACCGCCCGGAGCTACCACAACTAGCACAGCCCACTTGGGACTTGGGCCGAAGACGACGGATAGGATGACGGCGACGCAAAGGGGGGAGGATACGTGAAAGAGCACGGAAGGTGCTCAGCGGTAAGTCACCCTCGCACGTTCTCCGACCACCACCAGCGCGACGGGTACGAGGGCGTAGCGAGCTCGGCCGTAGTTGGCGCGCGAGACTCTGGCGGCTCGGCGAGCGCCCGGCTACTGTTACGATCACGTGGAGCTACGGACGGCAACGACGACGACGGCGGCGATGGCGACTCGCTTCGACGGCAACGGCGGAAACTTTGGCACGGGGTGAGTCAGTTTTATAGAGATTATATGTGTTAGGAACATGGACGTGAGCGGCGCCGGACCCGAGGGAACTTAGGCTAGTTAAGTTAAGTGTTTCCATGGGCCGGCGGGAGTCATTGGACGAAGATGCGGCTGAAGGTACGACGCCAGAGCGAAAATTACCGGAAGTCAAGGATCCGATGACTCTCGACTTTTCGTCCCGCGGCAATCTCACATCGGCCGCGTCTCAAACTGTTCCGCAGCACAAAATCTCTGTTCACTCTCTCCGCGTGTCTATTGGTCTTCGCCGTCCGTCGCAGAGTCTTCACCGTCAACCGTAGTCGCATCCGTGGCCGTCTCAGTCTGGCCACGCCAGCTGGGCAAGGTCTTCACGCGTCTGAGAAAACGAGCCCGCGACACTCGTCAACCTGGGGGACCGGTCGTGGGAACGTGCAGAGGTGACCAGTGGCCACATCATTGCAAATCCGCACCAAATCGCCATCCCGTATCCCGAGCGGAGCCTCCTATAGTTTGTGTCTCCTGTCCGTCGTATTTTTTTTTCCATTAAAATTTTCTTTACTATTATCTCAAATGATGTTCACTTTATAAATTTCGGCTTTTTCTTTTTTGTTCTATCTTTTTTTTGAACATACAAAATTGTATAATATAACGGCAACCGTTTCCAAAATTGTTTCCGTTTTTGAAATTATATTCATTATATATATTTCATATTGTTTTTGTTCGATAAATAAAAAAAAATTGTGAACACATAAAACTATTGTTGCTTTTTTCGTATTGTCGAGTGTGTAAATCAATTTTTACAGATTTAGCAACTATAATATAATTATTGACTTGAGTTTTAATATCCAGCTAATCTGAACAAATCTTGTAACTGCAGGTACTAGTTATTACTGTACTTGGAAATCACTTTTCGACGGTATGTGTGTTTTGACAGTTGTACAATAATATAATTATAGGCATAACCACCCAATAGGTGGTACGCCATTTATCTAGTACCGAGTGGAAAGTGTACGGTGTACCTAACACATTTGTGTAGCACGTAGGTAGATCATAATACTATGAATAAAGCGTCTGCGTGATGTGTTAATAATAATTGTGTATTATTATAATCATTAAATCATTCATTGAGTATACAGTAGGTAGTATACTTGCATAGTTGCATACAATCATTGGTTTTTAGTATATAATTATAGCTGTTGATAAAAATTGCGAATATATGATTACTTATATATAGATCGGTATTAGGTAGGTACTTGAAAATATATTATTTTCCGTATATTTTCACATAAGGTCGCAGCTGCCGAAAAGACGTGACTTCAAATGTTCGGGAAATCGTTCGTCCTAGGTACCCGTTTAGTAAATAGTTCAAATTATTTAAAATCAATCGTATTAATATTATACTTTATTTTACGTATAGAAACTTTTTTTTTATATCTTCTTCTTTTGTTTTCTGCAACAGGTTGCTTTCGTCTTGCAACCTTTTAATTATTTATTCAATACAAAAACTATAGTTTTCTTCAATAATATTATGTGTGGTAAAAATTATCGAATCCAAATAAAATATTATCGGTAAAATCTCACATAGTTTAATCCTAATTTATTTATTTTTGAATACATTATATTATGAGGTTTTAGATTAAACCTTCGTGTCAAACGATTAATCAAAGATTATTATGGAATGCATATTTGACAAAATATTTAGTTAAAATTAGATACCTATTTGAAGTTTGAAATTTTACAAAACTTAATACTTTTGCTTCGACGAGCTTATAGAAAATTTGTTGTACTTACTTAATTCAAAAATTACTAACTATGGGGACTTTTTTCTATTTGTATATTATTATATTATATACACACAAGTACACAACAATTTTTAAAATATTTAGACTAAATTTATACATATATATATATATATATATATATATAATAGGCTGTAACCTGTATAGTGGGTACAATAATACAATAATATTATACATATCTACAGAATTGGTTGAGTAAAACCACGGCCATGGATACTACTATGCTTTTTTTGTATAGTATTAATATATAGCTAAGCTACTATATAGGCTATAACCTTGTTAATATAATTTATTATCCATGTGCCGAGTGCCCGTATTTCATGATTTAGAAAACTAGTCTAGAATTATTATTTATTATTTTAATTACCTATAACCTATAGGCTATAATTATTAGAGAATAAATAAATATTAAAATATATTATTATCGTACTATTTGTACTGAGATGAAAATATACTATCTATGTCTGATTAATGTTTGAAAAACTGGATACGGCCCTAAAACCTAGAAGATCTAAAATCTAAACCGTGTACTGGAGTCTGGAATCTTAAAACAGTTCTGAGCAATGAGTACATAAAAAACAAAAACATTTTGAGGACCAATGCTGAATCTGAAATCTTGTGATAACCATAGATAATAAATTGATATCAAAATAGTAAACAATAATAATTGACTTGCAATCGTAATATTTTTGGAAATATGAATATAATTAATTTTATCTTGTAAATATATAATAAAATATTATGTTTGTTACAATATTATATGTTGAAGTTGAGTGAGGTAGTGTTTTATTTAAATTTGTTCATTCCACGGAATGGATCCTGTCTTCTGAATGGACACTTTTAATTGGTGAGTGTACACTTATTTTAACTTCATGAGGAAAAATAATTTTAATTGAATAAATATGTTATTTTTGCTTTAGGTATTTGGAGAGAACATCAACATTGCAACAAATCAAACCTGTAGGTTTATACGATCTTTCAAATTTACAGTTGAGATTTTTGTGCCCACAAGATATCAATGAAGTAATTTACTATTTACCTACATAGTACATATTATATTAAACAGTGATTCATATATATTATGAATGACTTAAAATCCATGTATTAAACCTAAACTGAGTGAAGGAAAAACCATAAGATCGAAACCATGTATATAATCAATTTGTGCCTGTATTAATGTCAATTGAATTATGAAGTGCTGAATTGTGTCTAATTATTGATAATATAATTAATCTATTTCCATGTGTATAGTTATTCATACCTGTCTTAAAAATATTTTAGATTTGAATGACATATCCTACAATTAATTGTCTATAATACATACTACATGTTCAGTCAGTTTATTATCTTCTTGAAGAATAAATAAAAAAATGAAAAAAAATACTCCATATTATACATTTACATTATGACTTTTATTAATAATAAAATAACATAATTTGCAAGCATCCTAAACAATATGAAGATATAGAATTTTTTTTGGGAAAGTTGTAGAATATTAAATTCATTCAAAATACTTAGGTACATAAAAACTGTAAATTAAATAATTTTCTTTTGTGAAATAAAAAATATCTGAAAATATATAGTTTGGTTTACTTGTATTATAATAATTAATAATATTCATGATATTCACGATATACATTTTTCAGTCTACTAATTTACAATGCAAATTGATTAATTAAACTTACTGTATTAGCAGTCTCGTAAAGAATACTTTTATTTTGTGCTCGGAATACATATTGGTATAAATTAAATTAAGGTATTCAGAATACGTATATGAATACTTTAAAAAGTATTCGAATACTATTAGAATACTTTTTTTCACAACTAGTTTTTGTCAGTTTTTGAATGGTTGCGGTAATTAACATTTATTAATTAATATTTAAAAATACATCGTAATTCGTAATCATAAGTTATTTATAAATTTTGACCACATATGATAGGGCCGATACGGGCCATATAGGTTGCAACACATTGGTGTTTATAAAAATAATCATATCATGGGCCAGTATAATATTATATTTTGTTCAAAGAATAAAATTAATGTTCATGATTTATAATATGTCTTGTCACAAATTCAAAACTATTTTTCTGGATTGGAAAAAAGTATTTTTTTAATGAATAAAGAATACAAATAAAAGTATTCAAATACTTTTATTTGAATACTTTACAAGACTGGGTATTAAGTATGTATTCAATATATTCTTAAAATATTCTTTTATTTTATCATACGTGTTTTCAGTTTTTTTTTGGTTGTAATAATTTTTAATGGGCATTAAAATTATCATGAGCATTGAACAGGTACAGATTTGAATTTCGGACCGGCTCGGGAAAATAATTTTTAGCAGCCTACTAGCCAGTCATGTATTGTTGGAGGCTTGCAGGGGGCAAGTGTACCATACAGAAGATGTTAATTTTGTTTAGTCCTTTCATTGTTAGGTTATATTGGGTATTCATTGTTCCTACAAAAATTAAAATATTAGTGAGGTTTGCATAGCCAAATGTAAGATGCCTGGTTGCAATTAAATGTAAATTTTAGTTAAACATCACTTTAATTACTTTAAATATATGTGTATGTACTATTTGAAAAATACTACTATATGACTATTTACTTACATACTAAAACATATCTTAACAGTAGCAATAGACAATATTAATAATAGAATATTACATATTAGTATAAAAGAAACTTATTAATAAGATCAATCTTTAACGGTTTTAACAATAAAATGTATTATAGATTTTACCATTGGCCCAAATAGGGAGAGGGGCTTGGAAGGACTTAGTCCTCCCAATTCAAAATTTAGTATTTAGTATTGAGCATGTATAATTTTTAGAAAATAATATAGGAGGCGGCTTTAGTGCCCCCTCCCCCCCAAAAAAATAGGGCTATTTGTGTCTATGGATTTTACTGTTCTTGGAGGTTGATTTTTTTATTAGAGCTTTTGTTATTAATTAATAATTATTATTCAGTTTTTGTTATACTGTTATAATATTTGATGAAAATATTAAATATCTATTAAACATTAAAATATTAATATTATTGCAGGTGAACGCTTTGTGTGTAGATTGTTTTCCCGTGGAATACCCTAGGTCATGGTATGAAGACATTACATCAAATCCAAAGTTTTATTCTTTAGCTGCTATACATAAATCTGCTATTGTGGGCATTATAGTAGCTGAAATCAAATTATATATAAAATTAACTCCAAAGGTAAATTTATTATTTAGTATTTTTCTACTTATTAAAATGTAATTAGAGATACCTATACAATTTTTAAGTATAAATCTTATCAACTATTTTAAACTTTATTTTATACATCAATAACTAATTGATTTGTATATGTTTATATACTATAGGAAAGAGAAGTAGTTTCACCATCTGCAGGAAAATTTACACAAGTTGGATATATCTTGAGTTTAGGTGTTACTAAAGCATATAGACGAAATGGCATAGCATCATTGTTGTTAGATAATCTTGTATCACATTTAACTTCAGCAGAATCTAAAAACTGTAAGGCAATTTTTTTACATGTACTTTCTAGCAACTCATCTGCAATTGCCTTTTATGAGAGAAAGAGTTTCAGGTAAAATTCTACAAATGTCATCAATATAATTTTACTTTTATGTTTATTTAATATACCTTGTATATTTTAGGTTACATTCATTCCATCCTTATTATTATATGATTAATGGAATCAACAAAGACGGGTTTGCATATGTGCTATACATAAATGGTGGACACCAACAATGGATGATCTTATATCCTTTTAAACAAAAATTTATATTGATTATTCATTCTATTGGTAAACAATGTGTGGGATGTAGATATGTATAATATACATTTATATTTTTAATAAAATAATAAAATATATAGATTTTAACAGGAAGACCTGATAGATGAAATAGCTTTTGTTCTAATCAATATTTTAATTTTTTTTTTATATTTTATATATAATTTATATTCATTGCATTACAAGTATAATATAAAAAAAAGATTGGCAAGTGGGTGTCGCTCTGCTGTACATTAGGTTACAAGTAGGTCACTGTATAATGGATGGTATTAAATTTGAATTCAATGATATAATATCATTGTATAAGAAAAACGATTCTGAGCGGTGATGGTATGTCAGTCTATGTATAAGGCATATTATATACATATCTATGGTATTAAACAAAAAATTGACCTATAATAGGTACCTATAATAAATTCCAAATTAATCATATCACAATATCCATTAGATACATAACGCGTTATACATCAACAAAAACCGTGATACTATCATAGATATATAATAGTACACTTTAGAAGTTTTAAGTACCCACGAATAATATTATTCAATCACAACAAAATAACTAAAATAGTTATTCTAGGTTTTTTAATATGTAATTTCGTCCAAATTTGAAATTAAAATGTCTGTAAAAAATAAGTGTGTTTATATATTTTTTAGATTTTTTGGTTACAGTATGATTTATTTAAGAGAATCTTTGTTTTAAATTTTCAACTCTTAGTTATAAAAACTGAACATTTTATAATTTTTTAATTCCAACGATTGATTATTTTCGAGATTTTGATAAATTTTGTCAAAATTCCAACTTTAAATGCTTATAAAAAAAAATCGTGCTTATGTATTTTTAAAATTTTTCAACTGATATTGTAACAATATATAAGAAAGCTTGTATTCAATTTTCAGACTTTTTGGCCCACCAAATAAAATTTTATTGACAATTATAAAAAAAAAAACTAAAAAAATTGAAAACTGAAAATGTCCCTAAACAGCTCAAAAAGAGTCAAAATATTTTCAAAATTGTATGGTGTATAGAAAATGCTAATTTAAACATTCAGTGAAATTTTCATGTATCTACAGTTGTTCGTTTTTAAATTACAACAAAATAAGGAAATCGCTACATGAGAAATCGAGTGAATATCCAATGTTGTAAAAATTTTAATTTCAAACGCTCATAAAAATTTAACTTGACTGTCCGGTAGAGATTTTTTTATTGATAAAGGTAGTAATCTTATAAGGAATCTTGTGTTTCATTTTCAAATCTTAGATTTAAAAAGAAAAATTTTTACGAATTCTTAACTCAAAATAATTTGCTAATTTTCGTGATTTTTCCATATTTTGTCAATTTTTGAACTTTAAATGCTTATAAAAAAAAATTGTGACTAAGGATTTTTAATATTTTTCATCTGCCTCTGAAACAACATATTAGGAGCCTTCTATTAAATTTTCAAGCTTTCGCAACCAACAAATAAAATTTTATTGATTTTTCTAGAAAAAAAACTAAAAAAAAACGAAAAATGAAAATGTCCCTAAACAGTTCAAAATAAATCAAAATATTTTGAAAATGTTATCGTGTATAGAAAATGCAAATATAAACAACCAGTGAAAATTTCATGTATCTACGGTCATTTGTTTTAAAGTTACACCAAAAACCAAATTCGATTTTTGGAAAATCGATTTTGCGTAAAAATTCCCGTTTTTCCTTAATTTTTATGTTGTTTTTCCCGGCGCTTGTGAAAACTACTGGAAAATGTTTACTTTTGACCCCCCAAAGTACCAACTAGATTCACTTTCCTATCAGAAAAGGTACTATTGAAGAAAATCGAAGCACTTTTACTGTCCCAAAACGTGATGACAGACACAAAAATATAAAAATATAAAAATATAAAAATATAAAAACACACATCATTGTAAAACCAATACATTCATCGCTCCGCTCAGAATCTAAAAATATTTAAATAGCCAGGAAAATTTCAAAATAGCCAATTTGTAAATCTGGTAATAAGAACAATTTTAATGGTAAAATCATTTATCTAAGTCAAGTAGCTTATTTTTTAGAATTTCTTAAAATATCAATATTTTTTTGATTAAACTAATTTAGAACTTAATAGCTTTTTTTTTTTTTAATATTATTTTTGGGAATTTCCTGACATGTATTAAATTTTGTTTATTCATTTATTAACCATATCATTATCACATTTTCACAATTTTTGTCATCGTTTAAGTAGCATAATTCTTTTTTCAGATCTTCCTTGTACACCCTGTATTTTTAACATCTCGTCTAGGGTTTGATTACAGTCATGGTGGTGGGCAACATTTTATATCTATCTATTGAATACAAATTATGTTAATTACAAATTGCAGTTATAATAAACATTAGTAGATGAGTAGCAATGAATCAGTTCACTATAAACATTAGTTACATTAAGTTTGAATATAAATGTGTCATCATAATTTTAACTATTTCGCTGCAATTCAAAAAACAATATTCATTGGAAATTGAAACTTTTTGCCATTATTATTAATTACCATACACAATGACATTGAACACATACCATGAACCTATTCACACCGTTCTACGGTATGTTGCCATTGACTTATAAATCTCAACAATCAACATCTAGTATTTTAGTAGGTAGCAAATTACTTATAACATTATAAATAATACAGTATAAAATAAACCTTTGAAATATCAGCTGACAGCACGGCTCTACTCGGAATTGTTTTTTGTATTCAATGATTTAAAACATTCATTACAGTGTCCTACTCATACTCAATGAATAAGTAGGTATACTAGACACCTATTAGCTGATATACAGCAGAGCGACTTCTATGGTATTTTAAATGTTTTACGACAAAAAGGTTTTATTATTTTTGCTATAAGACTAGGACAACAGTTAAGTCTGTTAAGTAGTTGGTGATTTTACTAAACTGCAGTGGTTTCCTGTTGTCTTTTACATAAGATGTTAGTGGATTTACTTTCTCTAAAGTCTAAACAGTTACTTGCCTAAAGAAGGCCGTTTTATTCTATTCGACCACTCAATCTTCTTTTAGTACTTAATAAATTAATTTCAGAACATCTTGATTATCTTGAAATGTGTTTTCTCTATTTGTTTTCTCATCTATATGTATTTACTAGTAGTTAGTAGATTCCTACATTTTAGTTAACACTGAGTATTATTTAACATATTTTAGCGTTTTACAATATTTTCCTTAATTTATATGATTACTGATATATTGAAGTATATTTATTCTACAGTTTGCGAATTGGGTGTTGTCAGATGGACAATTAGCAAAGCTCGAAAAGCCGCTAGACGTTTTTGGCCAAGAATTAGGCGAATTGCTTCACAGAATACCAGTACTATTATGATTGACTGTAGCTGAGATATATTAATGTGAATAATACATGAATATTCCAAATTCCATCTGCCATTCAGTTTATGTATAAAGTATACATTTAATTTTTAAGGTTACTCTATTATAACCACACCGTTTGTCTTCTTATTATTTATTAAATACTGTTATAGTTACGGGAATTTTATACACTAAGTTGTTCATATTCAACAAAGTAAATATCTTATACGAATATATATTGTAAGTTCATTAAATAACTATCGGACAAAGAATGGAACATAATGTTTTTAAAGCTAATAATTTATTTACTTATATTTACTGAATAACTTCAGAGCTATTGCAGTGTATCATTTTTGATACAGCAATCATAAAAATTAAGAAAATTATGTGTGCCTATATATTTAAAATTTTTTATATTGAATTTTTCTACTATAGTACTTGTGTCAAAACTATTATTTACCTCTCGGAATTTCATTAAGCATTTGTTCTTCATTTTATATTCTAAACAGTTATTTATTCTCCTTTTTTTTTTTGTTATAAGTTATTACAAATTTGTTAAGTGATTTTTTATTAATTATTTTTACAATTCTTAAAAAAGACCGTGTTCCTTTTTAAAAATTTCTAGTCACTTCATTTAAATGATGCCTAAGATACAATACAAATGTACCTTTTTATTAGTTCTATGTTTACCGACAATCATATTTTTTCTGTTATTATATTTTATTAGTTTTCAAAAATGAATTATGTTTAAAATAAAATTTGATTTTTATTGACTATTATATATTTATGTTTAGTTATTATTTTAAATACATTCATGTATTAGTTTTTTTAAATTATTTTTTGTTATTATTTTACTTTATTGTTTAATCTTTAAAGTAAATAAATCCTTTTTTGTTAGAATATTAGAACAAGGATAAAGATCTATTTATTTTTTACACGCTTATTTTATTGTTTTGCTGTTAATTATTTTTATGTTGTATTAATCTAACATATTAAAATTCCTTTTTATCATTTGAACTATTTTTAAATTAAATTTCATTAAACATATTATGTTTATAAGTAATATAATTAGTGTTTAATGATATAAAAATATTTAACTGTTAAAATTGTATATTTTCTTGGAATTTATTAACTATAGAAACTATGTAATAAATATTAACATAAAATAAATCTATAACAAACCTAAGCATTTAATTTTCATTTGCCTTTTTTTATTATTATATTTTGATGAAATTAATCAACTAGTTATTATACTTATAATACTTATAGTATGATTTATACTACTATGTGACAGTTACCATTGATTTTGTAATTGAAGCAATTTCTAAAAACAGTTTCAGTATCAAAATTATAATAATGTTAAGACAACAACTGTTGTACTCAGAATTTATGGGCCAGTAAATTATCTACATAATTATAAACACTAGTTTTTTGCACTCGATGGCCTGTTAATCGATTTTTCCAAAACATTGATATTACTAAAAAATCCTCTGGCTATTAACTAACTAGTATGAAATTTTGTTTGTTCTTTGTGCATTTTCCTCAATTATTACGATACTACACCTCTCAGTTTAATTTTTATTGTATAGGGATTCAATCACAACTTACCAAATATCAGTTTTTATTTTTAAGTGTTAATTGTTTGCTATACAATAAATAAACAGCGGCGGACTGAACTTAAATTTTAAATGACACATTTTCATAGTCAAGCACTTACACATGCACCATTAGTAATATATAATATTATGTATTTGGTGCAGCAACTGTGCAAGACAATCTTGTCAAGTTATATTTTTTGTTAATAATCAATAGAAATTATTTACACCTTGGATCCAAAACTGAACTTATTGAATAAATTATTTAAACTTTAAATTTTCCATTTTAAATACCAATGAAAATACATTTTAATTAATATGAGAATTTAGGTGAGCTTGTTTTTATAATATATATTAACCTTTTATTTCTGATAACATGTATAAAGGAGTATAATATTTTGGTGTGGTACTGATTTATAAAGTAACAATTTTTCTTTATCATCTATCATAATCAAATTATCAAGTCTATTTACCCAAATTGAATTAACTACAAGAGTGTGGTTGTCAATTCGATTGATTTAAAATAGTGGTTTAACACAGCATTTTTTATACACGACCCCCCAAATATAATTATTTTGATGAGCTAACTTCCTAAAAATATTACTTAAGTATATGTACAATACTTATTCATTTGGTGTTAAGTTAAAAGGACTCCCTTTTACAATTTTGCCCTCCCTAGGTCACACCCAATTAATTTAAATTATACTGGTTAGCCTACAGCTTCTGTCGCTTCTGATATAGTGATATATGAAACTACTGACAAAAAAATAATGTGTAGGGCTTGAAACGGTAATATAATGATCCATATACCATATAAGTTTATACAGTTATACAATTAGTTCTGAATGTTGATGTATAGGCACTAGTGGTGAATTTTTAACAGTTTTTAATCACTTAGTCACTTCAATAATAAATTTGAAAGCTTTTAATCACAGGGCGATCGGTATCCAATATTTATTTATTATTAATTTAAACGGGCTAAAAGCCCAATACATGTTCTATAATATAATTATTATAATTTTAAATAAGTACAAGTATAATTTGAAAGGAAAACAGTAAAAAATAATAATATTACAATAATTTGACATGACAACAGTATAATATCTTAAATAGGTGGTTCTAATGCATATTGTTCATAGTTTGAATGAGTGTCATCTCTTACTCTGTGCAGGAAATTGAAAAAGGATAGAGACCACCCAAAACCAGATAAAAAATAAAGAACAGACAACCAATCAAACCATTGGACATACTCCCAATCAAACAAAAAAAAAATAATAATAATAAACTATAATACTAGAGCAAATATAGCAGGATCCATAATAAAATATATAATATCATTTATAATATTGGTACATCTTTTAACCATTTTAAAATTTCTGGAGTATAGTAAGTCACGATTACATCACCACCTAAACCATAAAAAAAAATGTTATGAGTAAGAAATCAGTTATCAATAAATAAAATATTTTACCGGCTCGTCGCATACTTCTTAAAATTTCAAGTAAACCCTCTTTTAATTGTACTACACCTGCTTGTGCAGCATAATATAACATTGAATATTCTCCAGACACCTTAAATAAAATAAACATTATTTCAATATCTTGTATAAGATGAAAAAAATGGATTTACCTGATAAATAAATATTGGTATATTTGGATGTTTATCCTTAACTTTTCTTACTATGTCTAAGTACATCATACCAGGTTTTACCATAGTCATATCACAAGATTCAGAGATATCTCTATCCTAAAATGATATAAAAGCAATTATGAAAATATAATTTTTTATTAGGTACATTATTTATAGACTTATATAGACTTCATAGACTTATATAACATTCTTTATAGGTCAATGATTATTTATGATGACAAAATTTCACAGTTATAATTTTATATAGATTATAGATGTATATATTTGCAAAGTTTTTGTGAAATAAAATATTTACTGTCATTTACTGTTATTGTGTTTTTAATATTTACTTATTTATAAGCTTAAAACCATACCTTTAATAATTTACTGTGATCAACAGTTAAAACGATAACAGTATTTAAGACATTTTAAACTTAGTATATAATGTGTAATTTATTTCATAATCAATGAAAAAAAAAATTCAAAGATCCTTAGTGATTTAAGGCCCTGATTACCCAATGACATTTAATGCATGTGTTTTGGGGAGCTAGCATTATCTAAAGTACAGAGACACGCACAAGTGTACTTGAACAATTCTATTTCGGGAACCAGCTCCCCAGAAACTCTCCTCCTATCACAACTTAAACAGTTATACTACTTACCACCACTCTTTCTGCAATACTTGAACTTCCTACAGGAATTTGATATGATGAGCGATTACTAAAACTTGGTGCACAATTTGCAGCATCTCTGAATGGTCCATAAAATACAGAACAAAATTTTGCAGAATATGATAAAACACTAACACGACTCAACAAATTCTTTTCCATTAAACTTTGTTTAATAGCTGTTACATGTCCATCCATCATACAAGATGGAGCGACAATATCTGCACCTATAAATAACATAAAATGGTAATAAAAGTTTTATTCAACAATCATACAACAATAAATTGTATAAAATGTTCAATTACAATGCTAATTGTTACACGTAATGAACAATGAGTACCAAACAATTATTCATCTTAGACAACTAATTAGCTATATAGCTAGAAATAACTAATTTAAAATTATAATAGACAATTGTTCTAAAGTTATGTAAAGATTGATGAAATACAATTTAAAACATTGCTTTAAGTGTATTTTAAACATTTTTTTTTGCATTTATAAATAAAACTTATTACAATGTTATATTAATATGAAAAACCAGAATATTTTAAAATAATGTTCAAAGATTGTTGTAGATTAAAAAGGTTAAGAATTAAACTAAAGCTTAATTAATTCATTACCAGCAAGAGCATATGTTAATGCTATTTCTCCTATCCTGTTAATGCTTTTTAAATTGTCTATTTGCTGGTTTTCAACGATCCCACAATGTCCATCAGACGTGTATGGACATAAACATACCTAGAACCAAAATACATTAATAACAACTAAACTAATAATTTAAAGTGTTAAATAAAATACAATAACTTATAAACTTTTAATTAGGTATATGTAAAATATATTGCCTTTGTGTATACAGTTACAGGTTGTATGACTGTTCGTCTGCACTAAATATTTAATTTAGATTTAAAAAATTAAATATTTTATAAATATGTGGATTTTAAATATGTATTTAGGCATTTTAATTTTATAATTGCATTTAAGAAAAACAATTATGTCAACACTCAATAAATGTTGATTAATTCCTTTTCACGTGTGTTTTATAATCATATAAATTATAATTACTTAGTCAAGTATACTTATATCAAATAATTGTATAGGTTGTATATTTCAAATAAATTAATAAAAATATATTATAATTTAATACTTAATATATTATTCATGACTCATGTTAATTAATGTAGGAAATTGAAGGTTACGCTGGTTGAATGTTTGGTTGGAACAAAAGAAGAAACAATTTTCATACATTTAGTATCCTTTTAACACAGGAATAAAATATTTATAATGTTATTGTTAAACAATATCTTTCTCTATATATATAGATAAGTTGATCAATTTAGTAACTCATAACGACAATATTAAACAATCAGTGTCTTACGTTAAATTGATCATATTATACAATATTTAAGTTGAAAATATATGAGAGTGAGATGCATAAGTTCAGACGTTCAGTTATTTTAAGAAAAAAAAGGTTCTAAAATGTTTAGTTATTAGATAAAGTAATTATTAGAAGGCAGTTAAATGGAAAATATTTTTGTATGCAACATTCTATCAAATATTAAAAAGAAAAAGAAAGATATTTTCATGCCATTTTTATCTAACAGTTTTTTATGATGTAAAATTCAGTTTTTAATCCTAACATTATGACATTATTAAATTAGGATTTAGAAAAATTGTCTACTGTAGTTATTGTATCAAAACAAATATTGGGATTCTTATGATAATTTAAATACCTGGTGTATAACAATATTTAGAAAGTTTTTCTTAATATTTATTAGTTATGTAGATATATGGTTAATAATCTACAGAATGTGAGCTGCTAACATTGTAAGTCAAAGAAAAAATTATCTAGAACTAGCATTACTGAAACCACTAGTCAGACACGGCTCAAAGGAGTAGTAAAGTTGGGCGGCATTTTCAAAAAAAAGTGATATTATTATTGCCAGTTCTGCATACTATCGGTGACATTATGTTATTATAAAGAATATTTACATACATCACAAGCTATCACAAGATTTGGGTACCATTTCTTTAACAATGGTAAAGCTTGAATAACTGGATTTTCAAGAGAATCGGCATGTGTTCCATATTGATCCTTTTAATAAAAAAAAAGTTGTCAATATTTTCCCACAAAATTAATTAAAATTAATAAATTACTTTTGATAACTTATTGATCACACCAAAAATTAAGATGGATTTAAGCCCTGACTCAACAACTGGATCCAACATGGCTTTGACATGGTTTAACCCTTGTCGATAGATTCCTGGCATTGATTTTATTTCTTCTCTTACATCCTTTTCATCTCTAATAAACATATATTTCGAATTATTCCAAAATCATAATTAATTTAAATCTACAATGAAGGTACTTACAAAATGAAAATTGGATACATTAAATTTATTGGAGTAATTTGAGTATTTAGACACTGCCATTGCCTAATAGTGTCGTTAAAATATCCACTATGAATAACTTTATTTGGATAACTCATTTTATAAAACTCTACACGGCAAGTCAAGAACAAAAATATTAGAATTCAAAGAGACGTAAAACCGCTCTAAAGCTGTAATTATTTATGTAAAAAATTATCAAGTGTTGAATAACGATATTATGTACAGTTATTACATGCAATTTAATCTAACAATATTTCTCTGAAACCATTGGAGTGTTAAACGATCAATGATCATTTTGAGTGTCAAATTATTAATGATTTTTAAATAACTCTACAAGCATACAAATGTCGTTTGGTCAGTATAAATTAGTAATTAATATACTGTTAGAGTGATAGTTAATATATGATATTATATTTTGGTCACGGCTTATTCTTAAATCGTGATTCGCGTGACACGGAATCAGGCAGGTTATCACTAACTACTCATGACATCAGTTAATAGTTATCGTGTAAAAAATGAAACTGAAAACTAACTGCCACGATTTGAGTCAGTGTTTCCCAACTTTGAGAGCTCGAGACTTTTGTGAGAGTGGGTTGGGGGAGACATTGCTGGGGAGGCACAAGCAGTCGTCATGAACTAGAATTTGTTTTTATTTCAGAGTGAATGGACAAAATGACGAATCAATAACGACCGGGTAATGGGTTCAGATCATAGATAATAAAGATATGGATAGGCCAATATTGAACGGTCTTTAGTTCTAATAGCGGTGATCCAATTTAGGCCAAATAAGTATCCATTATCGAATGTCTAATTAAAAGGGCCACTATTGCCTTGACCTCAATTATATTTAACATAGGCGTGGCCTATCCATATCTTTATGATCTATTCTACCACGACGTCCATAAATTTTTTTCAATTTATTAGAAGGTGAGCTAGAAATTTGAAAAACTATAGAGGGGGACGTAGAATAAAAAAGGATGGGAACCACTGATTTAAGGAGACAGGTAACTGCTGTTGTAATGACCTATGGACTAAACTATTTTTTTTTTGTTTTAAATTCTAGGTTAGGCCTACCAGGATACTAGAATCATTGTAGTTGGTACTTGGTATAAACTTAGTTTTCACAGGTCTATGAATAGAATAGTTTGTTGCAGCTCTCCATGCTTCTCTGTTCTGTAAGACTTAATTCTATCTGTTCCTTGTATTTTGTTTTATTCATATCCTTCATTATCTGGGTCAGGTATTCTACCATTTGTTTTCTTTCCTCGAATCCCTAGTAGCATTGTACTTAGGACTGACTAAATATAAATGTATATTTATATATATAAAACACAAAAAAATGTTTCTACTATTGTCCTTTATGAATTCCTAAACCATTCAAACAATTGTGTTGAAATTTGGTAGAGATAGATTAGATAGGCTACACTTTGTCGGACAAAAAGGTAAACAAGGCAACCCAGAGAGGTTCTCAAACAAGGGATTTAAAAAGGGGCCTCAAGTTCGAACCACAGTTTTAGACTTTTAGTAGATACATTTTTAGCAGTTTTATTTTGGAAATTTTTGTTTATAAAAGGTTGTTATAGGTTTTAACATTGGTTATAAATAATGAGTATAGACTATATTATAATCAATATTAAGTATAGTATTTATAACGATGGTTTTAATAATAATGATAATTATTATTAATTGCATTGTTTTTTTTTTTTCGTATATCAGAATTGTACAACTTAAATACATAAATAAAGTTAAAATTATACACTTTCGTATTCACCATGTGGGGTCAGCTATCTAGTATCTACCACAGGATGACAAAAACCCATCAACAGCAGCGCAATGGTGTGTCCAGCTAGTATTAAATATATTTAGACTCTTTTTAAGCTATTTGTAGACATGAAAATTTTTTAAAATGCTATAAATTATTTTTCAGTTAGAAATTCATAAAAGTTTTTTATTCATAGCTTAGATTAAAAGTTAGAAGATTTTAAACAAGAACAGCTCTTTAACTAGAAGTAATAGGTCAATTTTTTAATTTAATAGGAGACAGATTTAACTTTGAAGGTATCAGTTTTTGATTTATGAACCATTATCACCATGACATCATATGTCATATAGCCGTAGTTTAGGTTCATATTATTATTTATCATAGATATTATGTACCTTCTATAGTTGTATAGGAGGTAGCAATAATAGTATATTTAAAAAAATAACGAAAGCATAATCAGTAATCACCAAGCTATTGTGGGTAATGGGTATCCTTGTGCCGAGGAAAAAATATCAAGTGCGTATTAAGCTTGACCTATAGTAGTGTAATACATTTATATACTAATTTGTACACACAATTTATTTTTACTTCAATAAATTAATTAAGTGGAATCTTTGGGAATATTCTCTTATTTACAGAACTACTTATAATAGATACTATGTATTCAAAAAAAACAAAAATGTTATGTTTATTTTTTTTATTGTTACAAAAAACCATTTCAAACTAAAGCTGGAACATAGTAACCACTATCCCTCAGGACTTGGTTGTATGGTTCGACTACCTTCTTTACTTTCTTGTTGGCTTCTCTGGTCAATTTCTAAAAATAAAAAGTAAGTTGAATATAATCAAATTTATAAATAGATGTGGTAACAAAAATGACTTATTATAAGGCCAGAGATAGAAAATATAGAATATTTTAGAACTTTACACTTATAACAGAGCATGAATATTATTATTTATTTGTATACAAAATGCAAAAATGTTATATTATGCAACTTTAACCGTGTAATTGAAAATTATAATTCATTAGTTACAAGAAACTCAACAAATAAGTATATAATATTTTGATCACATAAAAATTTGTTATTCAGTGTTAAAGAAACATTGTCATAATTTTTTTTTTAAGAAAAGATAATCTTTGGCATGTGGTAATTAGGTGATATTATTAATTAATTAAAAATATTAGAACTATTGAAAAAATAAATTTCATATTAATATTTAGCTGGGGTATAATATTCATACATTAAAATATTAAATAATAGTATCCATTATCATAATGTGTAAACTTACGTGTCTGATCTTCAAACGCTGGGCACGTTTGGCTTCACGTTCTACACGACGTGCTTCATAGTCTTTCACTACATGTTGGTATTTCCATCCAACTTCATGTGATAAACGACCAACATCACAGTATTTACGTCCACGTTGCAGACTCAGCATTCTCATAGCCAAAGGTACAACCATTGTTTTTTGAGATGTATAACGAGCTGGGATATCTTCATATGCCTTCATACGCCTTAAAGCTTGTTGTCCACGTGTTGTTTTATGAGGGATCATACCTAAAAAAATAATAAATGTGGCAATTTAAAATCTTTTCAATATAATAAAGAACAAAGTTGAAGTGTTAATATAATAATATGTCATTCTTTATTCAAAATTTGATATTTTAGTATCTGAATCTTTACGATTTTATTTGTATTTTTTCGGTTTTACATTTTTTTTTATTTTGTTACTTTAATTATTCAAGGAAATTTTAAGATTTAAGGGGCCTTGCTATTGCCGACAATTTTTGCAAACAGACCTTAAGTTTTGACAAAATTAAAATTAGTTTGTTATCCAATTTTGATTCTAAAAAAAATTGAACTCTGTAGAAAATCATCTATAGATAAAAGATCATATGGAACAGTTTGTACAAATTAAATTAAGTCTTTTATTATTGTGAACTGTGATTAAAACCTTGAAAATATCAATTTCATAATTCATATTAAAAACAAGTGTTGTGGTACAATCTACGGACAACATTTTTGGCTGAATTAAAGTCAGACGTTTACTAACTTTAATTTTGTCAAATCAATAAGTAAGTTGTTGTAAAATGTTTGTAGTGAATTTTATATTATTGAGTTATTCACAAGTGCATGCGCGTACAAGAGTAGTACCCGCATAGAATTTCACTCGCATACTAATTTACAACTATAGATCAAGGGCTGCTAAAACTAGATTAGAAAATGTCTAAATGTTGTCCCTTAAATAATAGATGTAGCAAGGCCCCTTAATTGAAATCAAATACACATATCTTCTGCTAAAATACCAAGATATAAATAAGTATGTTATGCATATGTTTTTCTAGATTATAATGTGTCAAAATAGCCAACAAACAAAAAATACTAATTAAAATGGTACCATGTGACAAAGATTAAAAGGACATATGGCGGTTTATTATTAATACTATTATCCTATCAGTATTATTAGCGCAAATTAATAACTTGTATAATTGGAATTATTTTATAGTTGTAAATCAAGAGGACGTAACACGGGAATTGGTTATCTTCTACATACAAGTGTGTAACATAGCAAATTTATGTTCAGATAGCATTTAGCTCATTAGTTTAAAAATTAGAGTGAATCTACCTATTATGAAACTTGACGGTAAGAACATTTTCTGAGTTTGTATGTGGATTTGTTAACGATAGCTCAAGTGAATTATTGTAAAAAACCCATATACAAACACAGATAATGGTCAAATTTCATAATATGTTAAATTTGCTCTTAATTTTAAAACTAACTAAGCCAAACGTGATCGGCCGAGTTGAAGTTTGCTATGTTACTCACTTATAAGTCAAAGACAAAAAATGTTGTGTTACACTACTTAGCACTGAATAGTGACTATTCAACCGCTGTATTCACACTTCATAGCACCTGGCTTCTTTGCCTATAAAAAGTGCAGACAGTCACTAGCCATAGGCGTACCTGGACTTCTAAAACATGGGGTGCCGTAGATGGCTTTGTCTTCCACACCCCCTTCCCATCACCAAAATTACATTATCTTAAGTTACAAATCAAAAATAATCAATACTTGAAAACTTTTTATAAACATTTTGATACAATATGTATAATACTATTTTCATGAATATATTAAAGGACATCACAACACTAATTTGTTTAAAGTTTATTGGTGAATTATTGTAGTACAAATAGTTAACCTTCAATCTAAGCAAACTTGTTTTTAGTGTTGAGATGTCTTTTAAGATTTTACCGATAAAACTTATGGAGAGTTACTAGTAACACACAGTCCACCATAGCATATATCTAATAACATCTATTTAAAGATTGATAAATAACTACATGTGTATATATTTATTTATCATAAATTGATATCAGTTTCTTTTTTTCAAAATGGATATTTTATAACGTAAAAATAAAATTAATTTAACACTAGAGATAACTTACAACTCTTTTCATAATATTTATGTTGTTTTCATAGTTTACATCTCAATTAATGTAAGTAAGGAATTTTTTAATAATCATTAAAGAGTTTAACATATAGTTTTTGTGTATTTTACTATTTTACAATTATAACGAATATGTTTCTCATAATAAATGTATTTTTCATAAATGAATTAATTTCAAATAATGTAAGTAAGGTTAAGTTACAACTCATTTCATATCTATGTTATTTTCATAGTTTACATCTCAATTAATGTAAGTAAGGAATTGTTTAATAATCATTACAGAGTTTAACATATAGTTATTGTGTATTTTACTATTTTACAATTGTAACGAATGTTTCTCATAGTAAATGTATTTTTCATAAATGAATTAATTTCAAATAATGTAAATAAGGTTTAATAGTAAGTAAGGCTTAGTTACAACTCATTTCATATCTTTTTTGTTTTCATAGTTTACATCTCAATTAATGTAAGTAAGGAATTGTTTAATAATCATTACAGAGTTTAACACATAGTTATTGTGTATTTTACAATTTTACATCAATAACGAATATGTTTCCCAGAAAAAATGTATTTTTCATAAATTAATTAATTTCAAATAATGTAAGTAAGGATAAGTTACAACTCATTTCATATCTATGTTGTTTTCATAGTTTACATCTCAATTAATGTAAGTAAGGAATTGTTTAATAATCATTAAAGAGTTTAACATATAGTTATTGTGTATTTTACTTTTTTACATTTATAACGAAAATATGTTTCTCATAATAAATGTATTTTTCATAAATTAATTAATTTCAAATAATGTAAGTAAGGTTTAATAGTTAATGTTAATCATAGAAAACATATTTTGATCTTCTTAATTGAATGTATTGTGATTAAAATACTAATTTAAATTCAGAACCATTTCACAATTTATTTAAGTACTATGTTATTGCATGTGTTGACAATATCACAGTTAGAAACAAACATTTGTGCGTACTATGATAATTTAAAATGAAAACTATTAATAGCAATAAATAATTAATAAATACATAAAATATTTACAGCACTAAGTTGAAATTGTAAAATTCAATAAATCTCTTTTCATAAACATTTTATTTTCAAAGACCTTGTCTCAAGTAATGTAAGTAAGGATATTATTTTGAAATCATAAAAGAGATAGGTACATGATATAATTATTTTCATTAACATACATAACTAAAATTAATTAATAAACGCTGTTGGATAATTGAGATAAAGGCTCATGCACAGGTTATCTAACTTGCATTAATAAAGTCAATATTAAAAGTTATTAAGCTTTATCCTTAAGAGTAAAATATTACAACTAAATAAAATACAATTTTAAAAAACATACCACGGACAGTTCTTCTGAATATACATCTGGGAGCACGGTGATGGAAAGGTCCACGAGCTGGGTTTACATTACATCTCTTTCTCAAGAATGACAAGTACTTAATCTTGTTCCTATACGATAAATATGTATTAGGTATAAACATACAAATAATTTAATTTTAAATTAATTTTCAAACCTGTAAAAACTACCAGCAATGTTGATTTTGTCACAGTTGAAAACAACAACTTTATTCCCTTGCAGGATTGCTTTGGCTACGTATGAAGCTAATTTTCCAAGCAAATGTTCTTTAGCATCTATGTAGATGCGCTAAAAAAACAATGAACATGATATTTACAATAATTGAAAATTTGATTTGATGTAATGAAGCATGTTTCTAACTAAAATATTTTATGGGGCCGGGAGTGTGGTTCATTAAAGAAATTATCTAAATAGTGAAAATAACGAAATCATTACAGAAAATATCCATAACCATTTTTTTTATGAATAGGGAAAAGAATGAAATAATCGAACTCAAATATAACTACGAGCAAAAGATAACCACAAATTGGTAAAAAATCGAAAATGAACATATTAGAATTTAAACGTCATCAAATGTTAGTTAGCGAAATTCAATACATACCTTGTTGAACAAACCATGTTTGGGTGCCATTTTAGTCTGTTACACCTAAAATGGAAAATAAATTTAACGTGAAAATGCGATCTTTTCACGTGCGACGTGAAGCGAAATGGAAGATCTCTAAATTTCAAGTTTGTGACAGAATAGGTTAAGGAATAAAGAGTGCGTTTACAATATTTGTTTGTCGACAACCAAGTTACCACGGTAGCGGTCTAACCTCAAAAATCAACCATTAAACCTGGTAATATTTCTTATCAATCTTTGGGAGAACTAGACTGTAATAATAGTTGGTACTCGGCCGATGTGCAACAATTCTACCGTGATGAAAACCCAAAAACGCAAAAAAAAATCTGCACAGTGTATCCATTTGTATGAGTTTTTTGTATCTGCCATCTGGGCCCGTGTTGCGAGGTAATAACAGTAGACAGAGTGTGTCACAAGTGTTTTGACAGCTGCTCGTTCTGGTCCTCGCACTCTTTCCTTTTCCGTCGGTTGGGTTTGGTACTTTGGTCATTGCCATAGGAAAAAGATTACCCAATGCCCGTTGCTCATTGGGGATCGCCGATTACTGTATAATGTTTAATAGTCTACTTTGGTTTTAGTCGTGGTATACTGCTCTCCAAAACTACTATGCTACCGTTAGGATCTCGTATTTGTACCCGCCATACGTAGTACGCAGATTTATTATTATTTAGTATGTGAAACGGTTTTTAATTTTTCAGCTTTCGCACTACCTATTTTTATCCTCAATTTATATATTATTTTTAAAATCCTATCGAGTGAAAATAACACGTCTCTTTTCCTACGATGAATCGCTCGAATTATAATCAGAACTACAAATTGGTAGTAGTCGGAGGTGGTGGTGTTGGGAAGTCTGCGATCACTATACAATTCATACAGGTACTAATTGGATGTTTATTTAACTAAACAACATCAAGTAACTCGAATAGATGCTTGCATGTGAATTTTGGTTATTTTTTTACTACAGATCTGTACATTCTATTCAGTATTGTCTTTAACGTTAATACATTTTAACAATATAATTTAATCTATTATACCCATTATCCACTGTAGACATATGGACTAATGTATGAATAATAATATGAAATCTCAATTTTATAGTTTCTGTAGTGTGTACGTATTTTATTGGTTAGGTAGGTTTCTATGTAGATATTTTGTATTTATATGTTTTTGCTTATCTAAAAAAGGATATACCTATGTTATACTCTATAGGTAGTCTTTATGATTTAAGACTTCAGTTCAAAAACAGTTATTGAAACAAGTACCTACCTAGTTATTATTTAAATTAATAGTTATTTGAACTAGGTATTAGTTCTTAGTGGTCATTCTATTACAAACTTAAATATTTTAATAGATCTTAGACGTAATAAAAGCTACATTATTCTGTATCCAAAAATATAAGATAACATTAAAAATATATAAACTAATTTAATTACAAATCATTAACAATTTAATTTTTTATTCCAGTAATAATTACTCCTAACAATAATAATTTATATAGTTACCTAAGTCATTTAATTTTAATTTAAACTTGATTTCTAAAATAATATTCCGTAATCTACTAAATATCATTACTAAAATTGTTTTGACCCTAAGTGATACTAGAACTTTGAAGTATATAATTTCATTACATATTTATGCATTATTATAATTTATAACTTGTTTTAAATTTAAGATTTTGTTTATGAAAAATGGTATTTCCTGTTAAACTGATAAAACAAAAGTTGTGTGAGCTCATGCGGATGTGACTGCTTCCTAAAATGTGTAGTTAAATAGCCACAACTAATTGCATAACATGTGGGTGTGAACATTCCCTTGCCAGTGGGTCCAATTCAAGGTACACCATTATACCTACACAGATAATGCTCAACTCCTTATATGGATTTACTATGTATACAATAATGCAGTATATTATAAATTTTTGTAAAATGTTTGACATTATAATCTAATGAATACATAATTTAGATGTGGTTTATATTAGCTATAAAATGAGGTCATTGATGTCATCTGTAAAAATCATACTACCATATTTTTCTATTTATATCCATAACTACTAAAAACTAAAATCTTGTTTTTGATCAATTAATTATTTTTATATATAGATTTTTATGGGGCGTTATTACTACCATATTTATTTTAAATAAATACGTGTGTCATTTTACCAAACAAAATACAATAAATAATATGATTTTATTATCTCATAAGTAAATAATACAATATTACTACAAATAACATGATTATATTATATCAAATAAAATAAGTACCTATCCATCAAATAATTTTTAGTACTATATAATAAATTAAATTAATAATTATGTATTCTGTAAAAAATTGATGATTGGACATTTATATATTAGTGAATAATATAGCAAGTGTCAAATAATATATAGTATGTATTTTACTTCTCTAAATAAGTAATAGTTACCTACTATTTGCTTTTAAATTTAAATTTGAGTTAATTAATAAAATTGTCTCCTGTTCAAGTATAATATAATGTATAGGTAGTATGTTTGAATGTAATAGATATTATATTATTGTTTTAGAAATATTTTGTGACAGACTATGATCCAACAATTGAAGATTCATACACAAAACAATGCGTAGTTGATGATGTTCCAGCAAAATTAGATAGTAATAATTTTTTTAAGAGACTACTTAATAATTAATATTTCAATAATCATTTAATTTTAATTATTTAGTTTTGGATACTGCTGGACAAGAAGAATTTAGTGCCATGAGAGAACAATATATGAGATCTGGTGAAGGGTTTTTGTTAGTATTTTCTGTAGCTGATAAAACTAGTTTCAATGAGATGGAAAAATTTCACAGACAAATACTTCGAGTTAAGGATAGGGACGAATTTCCTATGTTGATGGTTGGAAATAAGGCAGATTTAAGTAGTCAAAGAATGGTATGTTTTAATTGTTAAATGACTTACTTGATATTAATGTTAACTATACAAATATTTTAATTGAAGGTTTCTATACAAGATGCACAAAGTATGGCCATGCAACTGAAGATACCTTACATAGAATGTAGTGCAAAAGCAGGGATGAACATCGATCAATCATTCCATGAACTTGTTCGAATTGTAAGAAGGTTTCAATTATCTGAAAGACCACCAATAAAATCTACGCCACAGAAAAGTTCAAAAAAATGTTCCATACTTTAGCAGTTTATGCTGTCTAAAATACAATGTGGGTATGTTAACATACCAGCCCGCACTAAACTAAATTGTTGTGTTCCCAATTATTGTCAATTTTAACCATTCACGTTTAAAACCAATATTTTTCACAGTATTAAATATTAATATCTAGTCGTACACCAATTGTACATCTGAACAAATCTGTTGACATACAATTAACATGTAGGGTATTAAATTTTTTTTTTCGTTAATACTTAACATTAGTTTTAAGCAACCAATAGGATGTTAAGTTAATTTTAACAATAAAATCTTATTTTGTTAGTAAATTATTGTTGGATTGTTGTTTTCTTGAAAATGACAAACTTAATACATATTAACAAATTTTGGCTACTCAAAAATATTAATATAGTATCAAACCATCTTATATTTTTATACCCATACAAAAAATATGACCAAGTTCGGTCTTTATCTTAATATTGTGCCCCCCCCCCCCGACCAAGAAAAAATTATTTGTTGGAATATTTTTTCAAACGTCAACTCTGGTGCAAACTACTTAAATCTTGTTTATAAATAAATATAATATAAAAGGCAACCTATAGGGATAGTATAAGGAAGAAGAATTATGCTCAATGAAAGACTGCTCATAATTTTTTGATGGGCATTGTATAATTTATATAGGCAACCAACAATAAACACAAGACGACGTCACGAGTATACATTTAATCTTATGCAATGCAGTATGTACAAAAACACAAGGTGATTCACATGCGCGAAGTAGGACGAAAAAACGGTTAGAGTTAATCATACTTCTTATTTCTTATACTATGCCTATAGGTGCATGCTATTACATTATCAGTTGTCAAAATTGCGTATTTTAACACTTATTTGTTATGTATTGAATTTGGTTTGATATTTTTTCAAGTTATGTTCTTAATTGTTCAACGATTGATGTGTTTTGTATTAACAAAATAATAATCAAAAATACAATATTTAAGTAACTTTTAAATGTTACCTATTATTTATTTGTTCTTTAACAAATCAAAATTTGTTTATTTTTGTATTGTAACGGTTTATACATAAATTATATATTTTTAATAACTTGTACTTATATTAACTTGTAAGTACATAATGATTTACTACATTTTAACTTTTTTCGTTGTTGTTAAATACTTAACAAATTATTATGTTTGGATAATATGGATACAAGATCTTAATAAAATATAATGTCAAACAATAAGATTGTATTTTCAATTGTTCATAATAATATCTTTATTTAAACAATGATAAATATTACAAAGCCTAAATAATTCCTATATTTTAAGCAAAATCGATTTTGGTGTAACTCTAAAAGAAATGACTGTAGATACATGACATTTTCACTCCTTGTTTCTATATTATTGGGGGCGAATTGAAACATTATAAATCATATTGGTAACTTTTTTGGGCCAATTGTACTCACAATCCAGCAACTGTACACATACAAATTGGTTCACTATCCAGCAAGAGAACAAGCCACAACCGGAGTTGTGTCCATGATAAAAGTTTAAGACTGCCTGGCTATAAAATTTTTTTTAAATTGCCATAACCCCCATATTTTATAAGCCAATGGACCTTTCACCCTTAGAACACAATGTAATAATAACTAAAAAAAACTACCGGTACAAATTTTTTGATTCTGTTAATTTTCAGTTGAAAAGGGGTTTTCTCATTTGAAAAACAGAAGTTTGTAAACGCACATTTCACAAGATACTCTTTGAGCAGTAAAAAAATCTAATTTTATTTTGAAAATATGGTCTTAAAATACATTTTTAAAATTTCAAAATCAGATTATAATAAGTGCATTATTATTGAAGAAGAATGGGATAAGAGTATTTGGTGAAACACCATTGATATAAATCATCTAACCTTATGACAGAATAGGTGTTGTACTCCTCCTGTCGTTATGTTTCTTATCATAAACAAAAAAAAAATGATAGTTTAATACTTGTTTTCCATAATTTGTATTCTCATATATTTGTAAGCAAAATTTAAAAACTACTTGAATCATTGTTGATAACCTTAATGTGTTTCCAATACAAATATTGCAATTTTATAACTATTTCAATCTTTAGGAAGGTAAAATATTAATTTTGAGGTCATAACAATGTAGTAGTAAAGTGGATGGTTTTAAATCGTTAATCGGAAATGGAACATAATTTTTTTAGTACCAAATCTCTATGAAGTGTGCAACAGAAGACCACAATTTCAAAGATTGCATTATTTGTGATGCATTGCAAAGTAATTAGGGTTGTAGGTTTTTCTTGAAATGTGTGAAAATAAATAACATTTAATTAAAAGCATGTGTCACAATATTAATCAGGAGTCTAAGATATTGATGTGACGACTGAATATTGGTAAAATAAAACACCGGAAACAATTTTAGTATACCACACTTTTTTCAATTGAAAGCAAATGGACTAAAACCAAAATACTATCAAGTCTACTCAGACAATTTAATCTAAATAGAAAAATTAAAATTCATAATTTATAACTAAATGGAAAACGAACAGTTTCAAACTTTCAACCAATTTTACACATTTTAAAGTTCATACAATTGTAATTGTCAATGTTATTTGAAATACCAATCCATTATAAATTGTTTTATCGTTTTACACTACTGGATAATCAAACTAACAAATTCAAATATTTGAAATCCTTATCAAGTTTATCTAGTATTAAGCACAGACTAAGATATAATGGATGGGAAACGAGCAGCTCATCAGTGGCCTCAAAAGTATGTACAAGAGGCAAATGCGGGGAGCCGATACCATATTTGAGAGTTAACAGAGCCATCTGCATAAAACACGTACTGAGATATAAAATTTGAAGCTAAATAAAACCATTGGCCACCTTGTCGTTTTTATTCCATTATATCTTAGTCCGTAGTATTAAATTAAAAACTTTTAATTGAATCATTAAGATAGAATTCAATCATTTTCTAGGATTTGAAAAAAAAACTCAAATTTCACAAAGTTTTTTTTTAATCAATTTCAATACAAGAGATATCAAAACCATATTTAAACAGCAAGAAGTTCCCTCTGAACTTTTCTCCAGTTATCTAATGGTCCATGGTCAGGGCGGAATTTAACATTGGCACCATCGGGAGCTAGTCTTCCATCTTCCTTCAATGTTTCATATTCTTCACGGTCATATTTTGTAAATCCCCATTTTTTGCTTACATAAATCTAGAAAAACAATTAAGTATAAAAAAAATGCATTTATATGTATCATTACCATTGATAAGTAATATTAAAATTAACTTAAATTCTATTTTAGTTTAATAGGCATTGATAATTATTTTATACTGACAATGAATGAATACGCAGTCTATGGCGAGCAAGAATACAAATTATATATCATTAACTTTAGTTTGAATATTCATAAATTTCATTAAGGGGCCTCGCAATGGCATTGACTTAAGGAGAATCATTTAGGCAATTTCTAATCTCGTCGTCGCCACCCGAGATCTATGTGTTAGTCGTAAATGATTATTAGTGTGTGTGGCGTCCATGCGGGTCAATTGTAGTGGTGCGGAGGGCTCTCGCACACACATGTCAATATATAATAATATTGTGATCATGAAAAAATGCTTATTAGTTATTTTTCACTTAAACATACGATTCTAATTCCAACAGTACGTCGCAACGATTACCTCGATTTTCATTCTGACAAAATATTCTTATTTTCCACAACATGTATGAGGGATCGATCGAGGCACATTTTTAAAATTGTATTTAGTTAATTAAATATTTAAGTTGGAAATTCTGTATTTTTTTTTGATTTTTTTACAATTTTTATTGCAATTTAAATTACAAAAATTAAAAATGTGGCTCGATCGTTAACTTGTATACATTACGGACAATCAGAATATCTTTTCAGAATGAAAATCGTGATAATTGTCGACACGTATCGTTGGAATTAGAAACAGTAGTTTTTGACAAAAAAAAGACTTGGTAGTGAGGCCCCTTAAGAGGACGTGATACCCACATATGTAGTCTCCGTCTTGACAAGTTTATAACATAGCAAATTTTACGCTCGGCATAACAAGTGTAGCTCCGTTAAATTAAAAATAAGAGTGAATTGACCTCTTAAGGTAAAATTATTATCTAGACAACCTCATAAGCTTTTCATTATATTTTAAATTTTTAGCGAGTTATGAATATTTTAAAAAATGTACAAACAATTTACAATTTTAAAATACTCATAGCTCGCTTTTAAATTAAAATACAATAAAAATACTAGATAATAATCTTACCTTTAGATTCTACAAGAGGTCAATTCACTCTAATTTTTAATTTAACCGAGCTACACGTGTGCTGCTTTGAGTAGAATTTGCTATGTTACACACTTGTAAGACGGAGACAACACATGCGGGTATCAAGTCCTCCTAAATAACATTCCTTAATTTTCAAATTCATCAGAAAATAGTCAATATAATTTAACCTAATAATCTACAAAAATAAAGGTAATCAAAACTAATTTAACAATTTATTGAAAATTATTAAAAATAACCTACGCTGGCGGAAAAATCCGTATTCTATTTAAACATTGTCATGATAACTTTTAGTTTTAAGGGAGTATTTGTTAACTCCAGTTTAGAGTTGTACAATATCCGCTAGTATTGTTAACAATTATTTCTTTTTTTAAAGCATTATTTGTTTTGTACACAATGGATTGACAGGAGAGAGAACAATTAATTGCTGCTGATACTGATTCTACAAATGGTATTTGATAATTTTAATGTTAAAGTCAATAGTAATGAACAAGATTGGCAAAAACCCGAGCTTAATATATATTTTCCCATTGTTATTGACAATAGTGGTTTTTAACCTTAATGGCATTTTTAAGTTTTTAGTTGTCATTTATTGTTGAATAATTACTAAATTGATAAATTAACATTTATAAGTCATGCCAGTCATTGGTAGTGGTCGTAAAGCCAGATGGCAATGTACGGAATTTGAATCCATAATTAACCTTTTTTTTTTTAATCAAAGTTTAATTATAAAAATAAATAATACCTATAAGTTAAACTTTTCTGAAAAATAACACAAATTCAAAAACATTTTGAGTGAATTTCTATTTCAACCAGAAAACAGCATGGGCTTTTTCAAAATTTCAAGTTGGTTTAACCCAGTAAAGCAGCCTGGACTTTTATGCCAACCTTGGTAATGAATGGCTGATAAAAATTAATTGTGTATGTCAACTTGTTGAGGGCCATTTACTGATGCTAACTATCTGCAGACAGATGTTGAGCGTGTTATTATATATTTTATGCAAGACTTATACACATTGCTAATAATGATAATGATAATGCCCTATAGATGGGTTCATGAAAAGTGAGCAGTAGCGGCCGATGGTCGGAATTCAATTAATGTTGTCAGAACCAGAGCTTCTCTGTTTTGTAGTGGTATTGTTTTATCACTACATCGCGCAGACTATCACATGAAGTCATACCTATAATATTTTTTTTTAAACTTTGTAAGGGAGGTATGTTTGCAACTGTTGGATAGGTAACACAGTATTTAAATACGGTAGATAGTAACCTACATTTCAATTTGAAAAATGTATGAAAATTGTGATGGATAACCACTAATGGAAATAGCACTGCTTCAAAGATTTATGTAAACAGACTTTTTATACTGGGCGTTGTAAGTTATAACCCCACGCGAATAAAAATGGTATTGGAATCTGAAGAAGATCGTGGATTGAAAAAATTAACAGTTATCTTTATACAATTTAATCATAAGTATTCCATTGATATACATACCTTTTGACGACCAGGGAACTTGAATTTAGCACGACGTAAAGCTTCAATAACAGCCGCCTTGTATCTATCAGATGAGCGAACACTCATGATTGGTTGACCAATGTGTACACGAGCAACTGTACCTTGTGGCTTACCAAAAGCTCCTCTCATTCCAGTCTGGAGCCTGAAAAAATGGAAAATTAAAAATACTACCACATGGTATTTTTTTGGTTCTTTTATTCAATAAAATTTTGTAGTTTAAGATAAGTTTGGAAATTTTATTTTAAGCCCTCTATTATTTAAATAAACTGTACATATCCACATAAAAACTGGCACAGCTCATTAAAAAAATAGGCATATTTTCTGGAAGACTAAATAAAATTATTTAGAATATTTGGACAAAATGAGTATATACAAGTATAATACAAATATCCAGTGCATTACTTGTAGGGGTTTCACTAATCAGTGATTTTATTAATTGTTTACATTTAAATAAGCCATATATAGATACAACTAATACTTCTACAACTTTTAAGTACATGCTTGTGTTGGAATAGATAATATTATCAAATATAAAACATTTACAACATAGAAAATAATATTTTTTCACGAATACGGCAAGGCGACACTATAATAGGGCTCCTTTCCACAGCACTAAGATATTGTCTAACTACTGTTTTGATGGAATGGGCAAAGAATATAACAAATACTTTTGAATACATACCTATCAGCTCCAGCACACGACAACATCTTATTGATACGAATGACATGGAACGGATGAAGTCTCATACGAATGTGGAACTGATCTTTACCGCAATGTTTCACCATGTATTTATTGGCACAAATACGTCCAGCTTCCAAAGCTTCAGACGACAATTGTTCATATTCATCAGATACCTGTTAATAATAATTGTTAGAATACTTAAGATATACTATAACTAAATATAACTTACAAGATGTACACATAACGGAAAATCATCTACTCTAGCCTTCTTTTTTCCCAAGTCGAAGATCCTAATTTTAGGATCTGGCACACCACGACAAAACCGTGATTTTGGGTACGGCTTGTTTTTGCAGTAACGATAACTATTGAAATAAGTAATAAAAAAATATTAAAACTTTATTGATTATGGTGTAAATTATTGGTATTCTGGTCCAATTTCAATGGTTCTTATGCACCTTGAAATGCTGAACAGTATTAAAAGTGACGGACATTTATTTCACTACAATATACATAAGTTCAATATATTATAAGCAATACACTATGAATTAACTTATAAAATAATCAGGGTTCTACATAAAATGTGGCGACTGAGACAAGATGAAACAGTAGGTTATTTACTTACCATCTCGCAGGACGACGGCCCATTTCTGTGAACAAAAGGTTAAAACAATTTATAAAGAAACGCTTTTAATAACAACGACTTAAAAAAAGTCGCCAAATCGTAGGATTCAAATGGATAAAAACTTATATTAACTTACTTAATTCCGGATGTTCCACCAATGATTCAGAAAGTGTAAACGATAAACCTGAATAATGTTTATCAAAAGAGAACGATGCTACAGCGTTGGGTGGAAGGTGGAACAAATTAAATTTTTCAAAGAGATTATAAGCGCATATTATGAGTAAATATATCATGGAAGAAAATATGTCAAAGAGATTAAAAACTACCACGAAATTTGAAATGTGTTTCAAAATACGGTCAACATTTTTTTGATATGTATTTAAGTCATAAATATTTATAAAAAATATATAAAAGAAAATTAGTTATTTTAGATTTTTAGCGGTGTAAATATTGTATTGTGATTTTTTCAATTAATTTTGGATAATGTTTGAAAATTTTGAAAGCCAGCCATAATTTATATTTCTTTTAGTAATACGGTGTAGTCGTAACCGAAACTAATTTTTCCACAAACAATATTATAACATAAAGTATAGTACTATCTAATCAAACTAACTGTCATATACTGAAGGGCCACTACCAATTCTTGGAAAGTTCGGCTAAAATTCACTTTACCAACCCCCTCACGATTTTCAATTTTTTTTTTTTAATGACTTTTTTTTTTTTTTGCTCAAAACGGTGGTGTACATTTTTTTTTACCGGAAACTATTATTTTAGAAGTTATAGCATTCCAAAGTTTGTGATTTTTCGTTTATGTGTATATGCCCGCAACGCTACTTGACCGCAGCGCCTATAAGTTGTAACAAATTAAAATTTTCTTTTTTTATATAGGTAACAATTAGCTTCTCATCTACCTGAAGATTATGTGCTTTTTAACAACATTGCTTAATTCCGAAGTCTACACAAGGTGGTCTTACACAACAAATCGAGGGATATTTTCGATGTTTTTGTCGGAGCTCAGCGCAGCGAGCGATGTTCAACGCAAACTTCACTTTTTTCGCAACAGTTCAGCCGATGAAAAATGTAGCATAACGAGTATATTTTGGACATTGGCGCAACTAGGGAGGAACTCGGGTGGGGGCTTTGGGCCCCCAAATATTTTTGATTATTTAAGATTTAATAATCATAATTTAAGCATGAGATACTGAGATACATCTTATGAAATAGGTATGTGAAAATGACGTAGAAAATAATTCAAAAGTCAATTATATAAATATATTATAGTTTATTTTGTAATTCCTACGTAATTAATAATATTGTTATTTAGTAAGTATTATGCCGGCCTTTGGCAGTTCACCGCCCTGGCTCATTTTTTTTACGAGGACAAACCGTTCGCGATTTGTTTATACTATATAATATTAAGTAGGTACCTTCTTTTAAATATAGAAGAAGTTAATAATTAGAAATTATAACACCGTAAAGAATTTACAAAATGGATAGAAAAGACAAATAAGTTTATAACAACTAATAAAGTAATTGTATCAAGTAAACAGAAGAATTAATAGTTTTGTATTTGGTAAATTACCTACTCGTGAATCGTGGCACAAATCCCAAATACTTTCGGAGACAACAGTTGAACTATATTTCAGAGGTTCAAGTAGGTTATGCGTACAGAGTACTATCGACTAGGTATACCGTATATTACAACTACTACAGTCATATACCAGGCTTAAAGTGGGAAAAAATTCTAGTGGGGACTCATGTCTCCAATCTCCATAATATAGTTTTAAGCGTTCCATATATATATTTATGTATAATACAATGTATAAACAGTGATTCACTGTATTTCACTGTGATTGTGTAACCATACTCATCTAGTCATCCTACTTTTAACCCTGAATAATGTTAACCTAATTTGTAAAAGGGGACACTTTGAGTCAATGGTAGGGTACTAGGGTGATTGTGTATTTGTGTTAGATGTAGGGGGGTGTCATCCTTACTTTAACCTCTGAGTATACCCAACTTATGGTATATCGAAACTACAAACAATATAAGCATATAACACATGCAAATTGTAGTTAACACAATAACAAAACATACTGTAACAGGAAAGCATGTAAATTTATCTATGCAAACTTGAATAGTATATAGCATATATGGCTAATAAGATAATTTCTGATACTTTTATGCTAATAATAATATTAATACCTATTAACAATAATACCAAAAACTTTCTTTTAGCCCAATTCCCATGTTAAGAGGATCTTAGCGCACTGTTTATTTTTTCTGTCCGGCCCACAATCGTAGAGACAAAACGCATTCACTCAAAATAATTTATATAGTTTTGAGTAATCTTTCAAGTTAAATTATCTATTACTAAAATGATAGAGAATAATAATTTTGAGGGTATGTATACAAATTAATAGAATTTGTCCAAAACTTAATATCAATTCAAATTTGCAAAATGTATTTATTGATTTTAAAATCAAATAATAATAAAATATAAAAAAAGTAATGTTAAACCCTAGAACTATTTTTCTCAATAATTTCTGTAATAGGTAACTACTTAAAAAATACTTAAAAAATAGGGGATTCTTTTATCAAACAACATTCATTATTTCAAAAAGTGTAAATTTTTTTAAAGTTTTTTACTTTTTTGAATGACAACATAGTGTTTTATACAGAATATAAAATTAAAACCTATGTTATTATACAAAAAAGTAAGCAACTTAAAAAATTTACTTTTTGAAATATTGAGGGTTGTTTGATACAAGAATCACCCGGTATACTATATATTATAATTGTATACAAGCGGCTAGTTTTAAGGATGGTGCACTAATGTTGAAACTGGCGAATTTCACATTCACATTTCACAGAACTGATGCAAGATTCATGCAATTTTCCTATACTCTATTCCAAATAAGTCTGGAAAAAATCCCGAAAGATACGAGACGCGGTTTGAGCATTTTCAGTCTCATTAGCTGCAGTCGGCGTGGTTCGACCGTTCAGAGGCTGTGCAGTTTTTCCAGACATATTTGGAATAGAGTATAGCAGAGATTAAACACTACTATAATGTGTCTAACTAATATATAATATGAGAATTCTGAAGACCAATTCATTACTTCCATTAAAACTTAAATGTTTCAAACTCAATACAATTTAAATTATAAAAATTACAATAGAGTATATTTCATTATGAATAATTACATTTTTTTCTTTCTATTTCTTGAAAAAGTACAAGGAATATTATATAAATATAATCAATATTGGTTTTTTAAATAATTAATTTAATTTACACAGTACATTAATAATACAAATAAGAAAAAACTTAAAAATGTATTGTAAATTTACATTTTGTTTTTTAAAAAAAGAATGGGTTCAATAATTATATTAAGCTAAAAAAATATATAAATAAGTACACAAAATAATTTTTAATAAATGCATAACCATGCCTAACCATCATGTAGTTTTTCGTGATCTACGACTCTTCATTGTGGTAATACATTGAGGACAATACCATTTACCTTTCGGTGGATCTGTTATACCGACACATTCACAATGATACCATTCATATGGACACTGAAAGAGAGAATATTTTTAATTAAAATATACACACACGAAATAAGAATGATACATATGGGCCATGTGCCAACGCCAATTTCTCTACAAAAATACACTTTACGGGAATAATGATCCTGATATATATAATCAATCAAATTTAAAATATATTTTATTTTTTTTTATAGTGTAATATTCCACAGGCTGCATTGAAAAACCATTTAAATATTTTAATCTGAAACTCAAAAATGTTTTAGTAATAAGACATTTTAAAACTTTTTATAAAAATGATTTGAAATAAAATAAAAAAATCAGTTCAATGCAGCCAAATCAAACAAAGGCCTTAGAGATTTTCCTATGAAATAATTATTGTTGATATAATACATTGGATCGACCCTCCCTAAATAGGTATTAGTGTAGTATAATTAGTGGAAAAGTATTATAGTTAAGGTGATAACTAATAAATAATTAAAAAATTATATAGAATTGTAGAAAAATCAGCACCGGGCTGCTTAAATGAAATTAGAATCAAACATTAAAATATTTTGAGCTATCTCAAACCCTTATAATTCCTTGTGATTTTATTTGTTGGTTATTAGATTATAAAGATTAAAGATCAATTTTTAATAATTATTGACAGGGATAAAATATGATTCAGTGCTTAAAGTAAAATTAACTGTTTTGGGTGTAAACAACTATTTAAATGGGGAAAACTTGTAACAAAATCCATAGTTTTATAATTTTAAGTTTTTAAGAGTTGAAATAATCTATAAATTATATAGGTAGATAATTTCTAAATAGACTACTCATCACTTGTAATAAATTAACCTGAATAATAACAGATATGAGTATCTAAATATTAGTTTAAATTTTCTAAATTCCTGATTAAAAATTTAATGTTTCAATTTTTGATATTACTATATTTAATTTTATAATTACCCCTTTATTATCACAAGCAACCATTGTACCATAAGCAACTTGATTACATATACAATAACGAGGTTCATTGGGATCAATTGGTTCATCCACATCTTCTTCAGTTGACATTTGAGAATTTTGAGTACCACCTCGCCTACAATGGATTTCCCAAAAAAATCATTAAAACATCAATAACATCAGTTGATTGATAAATCTTGATTAAATCTTATGATTTACCTTCTATGTTTTCTAGTTCCATCTATATTTGGATTGACTAAATGTGCAACACCTGCTAATTCTTTACTAATAGGCAATTCTGATGGTAGAACACCGGAAGTAGAACTCATTTGACCTGTCAATGTAGCACCAGAATTAATTGCTTCGAGAGATGCTTTTAGACTAGCTGTTCTTCGACCTTGAGACAACTGAAAAGAATACAATTTACTGTTAAGTATTAATATTGATATCATGAACAAAATAATTATGGATCTAAGCAATCTTTATGCAATTTGGAGAAAATAAATGTATATATTCATTACAATGTTCATATTTTTGTAATGTAAAATTAAAAAAAATGTTATTAATAATGATTTTTTTAAACTAAATTACACACATTTAAAATATTCAAGAGAATTCACTCACAGAGTTTTTGACCACGTACTGAAATATTTCAATTAAATATTGATTATTAAAAATAACAATCTTTTTTGAAAAGCAATTATAAGAAAACACAATTTAAAAATAATCCATAATTATTGAGTTTTCATAAAATTAAGCTATTTATAAATGTCACAGTCTAGCACTTACATGGTCTTTTAGACAGTGTTTATAGGTAATGAACTTTGAAACCTTCTATATTACTGAAATATAAGATTGTATACCGTAGCGATCTAATTTTAGATTATCATTTATCACCTAATTAGAAGGTAGATCAGAGCTTTTACGATTACGTAAGTATTTTGAATTCTTGAAAAAATGAATAAATTTCTAAAAGCCCAGTCTTTTAGACTGTGAATCGTGTGCTTAAGGATTAACTTAAAGTATAGCAATAATATATTATGAGAAAACAAAAAAAGGTTTTTTTTTTTAGATAGACACATAATCCAATTTAAAACTAAATTTTAAGTTTTGAAAACTATAAATAATATCTTTAAAGTAATTCATTTAAATTCCTAGTTTTACTTAATTATAATTTTATTTTTAAAAAACATTAAGTTAAAAGAATTAATTTTATGAAGAGCTATAATAAGATAGTAGTAAAAAAGGAAAATAAGACTCCTTTATTTAACTGGTTATTATTATTTGTTGAATTAAATTTAGCGTAAAAACAGTACTATTCATTTTTAATTGTTTACCTCTTATTAACAATACCTATATTTTTTAAACAAATTGCATTATAAAATTACTTGTTGAGTAGCAACAATAGCTTGGGATGCGGCTGCTGCAATTGCAGGACTTCCAGCTCCCATATGTCCCAATGTGTATGCCAACGAAGATGAAACCATTCGAGAGTTTGCAGGACTTGTATCACGCCGTGAAGGAGATGCTACATCACCACTACTAGTAGAATTTGAAGCTATTGAAGTTGATTTTTGTTTGGAAGTGCTAACATGATTTAATGCTTCTTGTTTGTCTAGAACAATAAAATTATGTTGGTATTAATTGCAGTTTTTTTTTTAATACGTTGACTGCTATGCGGCCGACAGTAGTCACACGATATGCATCATCTGAACGCTAAGTAAATTTTTCAGTGTCATTTCAAATTTGTATATTATACTATTTATTTCAAAAGTTTAAAAATATAAAATTTTTTTTTAAAAATATATTTTTTACATCGAAAAATGTATAATGATTCGCGCTATGCCACAAAGCTTTTTTTTGTGCATTATTGTAGCGCCATAGAAAAGTTAATAATATAAAACTATATTCATTTACAGCCGCCGGCAGTCATGTGGAATGGTAGTTATGATCAACTGTGGCCGCCGGCGGTCGCAAAAGCATAACATTTGAAATTTACAAATGAACGTCGGCGGCCACATGGTAGTCAACGTGTTAAATAGGTACCTAATATTTTCTAAAAACAAAAAATCATATATACGTAATAGTATACTTAATAAAGATCACAAAATATTTTTATAAATAAGTATATACGTACTAATAAATAATAAGTATCGTAACTAACTAAATAAATGCTTAAACTACTTACCACCAAAAAGACATCTATTCAATTGATATTTATTTTCTTTTTGATTGGGAATTATAATATTACTTTGTTCTGAATCCAAACTTCCTAAAATAATAAAATTTGATAATTAATCAATAGAAAAATTGTACCCATAATAACTATTTTTGCAAAAAGAATTTAAAATTTTTACTTTTTTCAATAAGTCCAGTTATACCACTATGATCAGCTTCTAGTTCCATTTTAAATTTGTGTAACTCATGATCTAACCGTCTCAAATATTTTGACATAAGATCATGCATATGGTTAGCCAACGTAACTTTTTCCTCTAAAATAAATACATTTAAGATTTAATTATGATTTAAAATAAATACAAAATTAATATAAATTTACCAGATTGTTCAACAGATTTTTCTCCTTCTTTCATGATTGCTTTAAAATTAGTTTCTAATTCTTCTGGGTTCATATTATCTGCTTTTAAAAACAAAGTATCCACATTTTTTTTTATGCAATCCATGGAATCTGAAATACATTTAAATACATTTTTAAATAATTTTTTTAATTTGAATTAAATATATTTAATATTTTTTTTTTTTTTTTTTATTGAACGTAAGCCTGGCAACTGTGGCCATTAGCTGTATGGTTTGTTTGTAGGTGTATTGTATTGTTGGTTGTAGTAGGAGGGGGAACACGTGTGTGATATTTAATATTATTAAAAGAAATAAATACACTTTATGAATTTCAATTTTTTTTAAATACATGTTTTTCAATGCTGATTTTGAAACTGATAGTTTTTTGGTGGAAACCATAATTTAAGAAGCTAAAAAAAAAAAAAATTAGAGTGTGGGTTTGGAAGTAGCTTGCTACACTCCACACACCAAAAATTAATTCGAGTGAATCTCAAAAAATAACATCTCTACTAATGGTTTCTGCAAAAAAATCAAATAGTTTAAAAATCAGCATAAAAAACACGACTTTAAATTTTTTTTTTTTTTTGAAATTCATCAGGGTCGTGGTAAAGTGTATTTTAGCCTATAAACAATTAATATTTGAAAACTGCAATAAAAATTCCGAGTGTCATGCTCTTCGTGTCAATTCTTTAAAGACTTTTTAGATTATAACGTTTTTCGTGTAAATGTTTAGTAAACTTAATAGTTTATAATGTTTTTTCATATGAAGGACCAATAAACTAAATTAAATAATTTGTTTCGTTCCATTAAATATAATGGTCTTTAACCGTTTTTTTTCTCGTTCCGTTTGGGAACCCTGTATTAAACATATAACAGTTTTTGGTATGGTAAATACTTTCTACTTGTAAGTCCATTTCTCTCATTTTCGTGAAGCGATTTCTCATCTCTTGTGGCAAGTGTTCGATATCTTGCAACAGAATAATATTATAAGTTTATAACATAAATTGCTGTTTGTTATTGAAAATCGTAAATATTCTACTATTTCTACTTACTTTCGAGATAATCTTCCAAATATAACATGGTCAACTAGACTGCAATTACTAAATAGTATCCAAAGAGTATTTTTATTTTATCTATTTAAAAAATAAAAATAGAAACAACAATATCTATTTAAGTGCGTTATTTTGTTTGTCAAAATGTTGTTTATTAAGAAAAATTAGAAAATGGTGATTTGTTGGTAGATAGCACAAATCGGAGAGGTCGTAAACCATAGATAAACATCGCTTGGTAAATGTGGTAACTGTGATTATTTTACACGACACGGTGTAGTGTGAACCCAGTCCGTGGCCATAACCACCTAACCAGAGCGTGTTCCGTATACCACAAATGTCAAATACCACAGAATAGATATGATTCATATTTCATATTATCACGGCTATAGATACTATATCTAAGTTCAATATATTTCAGTACTTCACAAGTAAATAGAAATTACTAATTAGTAGTCTGGTGTAGAAGTCTTTTATCTAAAGTCGTGTCTCATATTCATATTATAATTTGTGATTCCATAGTAGATGATAATTACTAATTCTATATATTTTATACTGGTACAGTGGTACATAGGTAGTAAGTTGATACCATAGTTATTACTTATTACGTACCGAAACGTCGAAACCTTAAAGAAACAGCATTTTTAAGTTTTCATTAGTATAATAAATTGAATTTTTTTAGTATATAATACAAAAGTAGTTTTACCATGTTTTTAAACTTCACCAAAAATATGTCGCTGACAAAAATCATTACAAGAACTTTCAGAACAACCGCAAGTAATATAATGTTATCTTAGTAGAAAATTGGGATGTTAGAATAAATACAAATAAAATTAATTTTACTTTCATATTCTTTAGACATTGATTAACTTTCTTACTGTGTATTTTTATTTTTTTCGTAATAGGAAAATTTATTCTATTCCAGCTCAATAAATAAGTAAATAATTATTTATGAAAATGTATGGTTATTAACATTATTTAATTTTTTAATTTTAGCTAGACACAGAATAATTAAAATTCAAGATCAAGAAGACTTCAATAAACAAGTACTTAATAGTAAAGAACCTGTGGTGATAGATTTTTTTGCTACGTATGTAAATATAAATTTTACATTTTACGTAATATAATTATATTAGTTTGAATTTTTTTTAAAGTATTTTAATATAAAGTAAATGTATGCAATGACTTCATTTAAAGAAGTAAGGATATACTTTTTCCATCCTTCATTTTTCCATAGAAACTTGTTTTGCCTGTATTAAAAATAATAAATAATAAATAAATTTATTATATAATATGTAATTATTAGGGCCAAGAATTTGATAACCTAAAAATCATTAAAAAACGCACAAAAAATAATGTTATAATAACTTTTAAACATAAAAAATATCAAAAATTACTTTATTATGACAAAAAAATGTTCGTTTTATACAATTCATGTATCATAATTCGTAATTATTATAGGTGCTAGCTCTTTAATAATTTTTCCTATCGAAGGAGCCCTAAAATATTTTTTTGCAGTTGGAAATAAGTTGATCGACTTTTGGGAAATTGTTTCTGATTGACCGCCCCTAAAATATCTGCCTACAGTTTATTAAATCATTGTAGATTGCAACAACAAACAATAAAGATTATGAACGTTGATAATCAAGAAGCTAAAGGAAACTGAATGTGTTACAATAAAGTGTAACTTTCAACGAAAAATATGTAAAAAAAAGTACTAAAATGAATAAAATACACCAAAAATACGAAAACAAAAAATTCCCTAAAAATGCTAAATAAAAATTGTACCATTAAATTCTATATTCCATGAATCAAATTTTTGTAAAGAGGAGCCTCGAATTAGAAAAAAGTATGCAAATGCATCAAGTTCCAGGCCCTAGTAATTATATTAATGAGGGACCCATATTAAATTCCTGTCTATGGTACTGGTAAAAAGAGTAGAGTTAAAAATAAATTCATAAGAAATAAGTAAGATTTATGTTTTAAATATTAAAAAAAGCATACAATCAATTTAAATTATTTTAATATAAATACTATATTTCAATAACTGTATTAAAATATACATTTTTTTTTTTTATTTTTTAGTTGGTGTGGACCATGTAAAATGTTACTTCCTCGAGTAGAAAAAATAATAGAAGAATATAAAGATACAATTCATCTTGCCAAAGTTGATATTGATGACAATGCTGAAATTGCCATGGAGTATGGTGTAAGTTCAATATCATACAGACTACATAGTGATTATTTTATTAGTAAAATAAATCATTATTAAAATAAAATATGAAGTCTTTCATTATATCAAAAGTTCATAGTTGTGTGCAGGCCTCTTTTTCAGGGTATGCAGAAAGCTGCCACTGGCACCCCCTAAAAGTTATTTTAAGAATTTAAAATTCTGATAAAATATACATATACACAATACATAAATATTGAAATATCTTACTGTTTAATGAAAAAAATTATACATAATCATACAACTTGTACAGACAAAAAAAAAAAACGTTGTCATGTAAATAAAAATTATAATTTATCATAACACCATTCTGCGTTGGGTAGCGTTTTTGAATTCATCATTGATGTCATCGGGATTTAAAATAATAACTTTACTATCGAGCTTTTCCGTATAGACAGATCGATTGATTGACTATGGAATGATTTTATTTTTTGTTATTTATTGTGAAAACAAACATAATTTATACAATATACATATACAATAGTTAGAGCTGTGCAGGTATGGTGCTGGATTTAATAAATCCTCCTTGGGTATAACCAAAGTTTTACTTTCCAAAGTAGCAGCGGGTATGACTGACATACAAAGCATTCACGAAGATATGAAGTTTCTCTTCCTGTACATACAACTTAAAATCTATGAACACCTGAAAGATTAAAGTACAATTTTAGTTTGATATATTTGCTATTCTTCTTGGTCAGTAATTCCATTATACATTTTGAAGGACCAATATTTTAAACACCAACAAGGTTATGATCCCAAATATCCAAATTAATTATTATCAAATTTTTGAGGACAGTCCCCTGTATTCTATAACTTGTCCTTTTCATAAAAATAGTATTTTATTATTTTTAGATTCTGAGTGAAACAATGAATGTATTGATTTTACAAAGATGTGTATTTTTTTTTTTGTGTCTGTGTACACGATAAGTAGTCGAAATAATGCTTCAATTTTCAACTTCAGTATCTTGTTCAATTGGAAAGTGAATATCGTTGGTGCATTGGGGAGGTCAACATTTAAAATACCCAGTAATTTTCAAAAGTGCCAAGAAAACGGGAATTTTTACGCAAAATTGAATTTGGTTTTTGGTATAACTTAAAAACAAATGACCGTAGATACATGAAATTTTTACTAGTTGTTTTTATATGTATTTTCTATACACGATAACATTTTTAAACTATTTTGAACTATTTAGGGACATTTTTTTTTAGTTTTTTTTCTAAAAATATCAATAAAATTTTATTTGTTAGTTAAAAAAGCTTGAAAATTTAATAGAAGCCTCCTAGTATATTGTTTCAAAGGCAGATGGAAAATAATAAAAATCCTTAGTCACAGTTTTTTTTTATAAGCATTTAAAGTTCAAAAATTGACAAAATATGGAAAAATCACGAAAATTAGCAAATTATTTTAGTTAAGAATTCGTAAAAATTTACCTAACCTAACCTAACCTAACCTAATACAAGATTCCGTATAAGATTATCTACCTTAATCAAAAAAAAAAAAATGTCTATAAGAAAGTCAAATTATGAGCATTTGAAATTCAAATTTTTACAACATTGGTTTTTCACTCGATTTCTCATGTAGCGATTTCCTTATTTTATTGTAATTCAAAAACAAATAACTGTAGAATGTAGATGCACGAAAATTTCACTGAATGTTTATATTAGCGTTTCCTATACACCATACAATTTTGAAAACATTTTTGAGCTGTTTACGGACATTTTCAGTTTTTTTTTTCTATAAATATCAATAAAGTTTTATCTGTTGGGCCAAAAAGTATGTAATACAAGGCTCCTGATTTATTGTTACAACATCAGTTAAAAAATATTAAAAATACATAGGCACAATTTTTTTTTATAAGCATTTAAAGATCGAATTTTGACAAAATTTATCAAATTTAAAATTGTATAATTATTTTGTAGTTAAAAATGTATAAAATGTTCAACTTTTATATCTAAGGATTGAAAATTTAAAACAAGATTTCACCTAAGTAGTTAATTCTGTTTCCAAAAAATCTGAAAAATACATACGCACAGTTTATTTTTATAGTCATTTTAAGTTCAAATTTGGACGAAATTACATAAAAAAAACCTATACTCTGTTCAAAATGAGATGATGACTCGGCGGCCAAGTTGTGCGCATGGGCGTGGCTTTGTTCCATTGCAGCGCCCGAAGCGTCGCCGTAGTGGGGACAGCGTCTGACCATATGTCTGACCGCCGCCCGACGAAAACTGGTCGCCGCCGAGTCATCATCTCATTTTGAACAGAGTATAGAATAACTATTTTAGTTATCTTGTTGTGATTGTGTATAATATTATTTGTGGGTAATTGAAACTTCTAAAGTAGGTACATTATGATATATCTATGATACTATCAAGGTTTGTTGTTGATGTATAACTCGTTATATTGTTATAAGTACCTTATGGATATTGTGATATGATTAATTTGGAATTTATTATAGGTCAATTTTTTTTTAATACCATGGATAAGTATGTAATATGTCTTATACCTAGACTGACATACCGTCTCCGCTCAGAATCGTTTAAATTTAATACCATCCATTATACAGTGACTTGTAACCTACTGTACAGCAGAGCACCTTTTTTTTTATTGATTTAAATTATATTTTAGGTTATACATATTTGATTTTTATTACTATATTATTATTTTTTTCATATTATTTGATGAATCTTTTCATTTTGATATTCTGAAGCAGAATTGTTTTGAAGTATTCCAAAATACTAAAATTTTAATGTTGGTTAAGTTAAGATCAAATGTATTACTAAATATGTAAAAGCGGGGTTCTAAAACATTCTACATATTATTATTGAGCCACTCTACTTTGTTTATGTAATCTTTGATTACTTATAACCAGACCTTTTAGGCCAACAACTTTTTGAACTATAACAATTAAATATGTGAAAAATCCTTACATTTTTTTTTAATACCCAGAAATTTTGGGTTTTTATAAAATATGAATAATTATTTAAAAATATTCTATATTGCACGGGTATTTTATTTAAATTTATATATTAATACTAAATAGTAAATACAACTAAATTTGTTTTGTTGTAATATCCAAGAGTTTTACATTTAAAATCAAAATGTTAATTTTGCATATTATTAAGTCTAATATATTATGATAATTTGATTTACTATAAACTAACACCCATAGATTTTTAATTTTATCATTTCTTAAAAAACATAATCGTCAAATTGTAATATTAATTAAACATTTTATAACTATTTACAATTTTAGCTCTTAATTGAAGTTTTGAACCTCTGAACAATACTTTCATTTGCTTACTATATTATGCTAGTTATCTATCAGTTTAATTAAAGTAATCTTTATTTCTGTTACATTGATCATCCTAAAATATATTAACAAAAATATACAAATGCCTTAAAAAAATATTTATTCAAAAAATTGTAACTAGCGTAAGACTATTCTAAATCAAACAAACGTTTTTTTTTTTTAGGTCTCAGTTGTACCAGAACTAGTATTAATGAAAGATGGGAAAGTTCAAGGAAAAATGATTGGACTACAAGATGAAGATAAATTAAAACATTTTATTTCAAAGCTAACTGAGCCTACAATAGAAAAAAAATAATATATTTAATTTATGAAATTATGTTCTATAAGTTATTAGATTCAGTTAGATTTATGGTTTTATTGTTATTTATTCAAAAACATATAATTGATTAAATGTATCAGTCAAACATTTGAATAATGGTCCTTGCTCGTTGATATTTAACTTCTTGTGATGAATTTAATTCCTGTTGGCCTTCGTTAGAAGATGAAAATTCTGAAATGACTTTATTCGCGTCTTGAAGAATTATACTGCGAATTTGACCCTTGATAGTTTGAAGGTATTCTACTAAAATGTCAAAATGTTCTTTAGATACCTAAAAATAATAATATATAAATTATTTTTTTTTATTCAATGTTAATACTTAACATTATAAATAAAAAAAATATATACATTTTTTTTAATAACAGTATTATTATAATATATTAAAAAAATTTTAGTCTCTGATTGTTGAGCTATAATAGTATTAAGTATTACTCATAGCTAAAAAAAAAATTTAAATTAAATATTAAAAATGTATTCGTGTATAAAAAATACTTGCCTTCAGAGGATCATAAGTGAAGTGAATCAACCAAAGTTGATAAATTTTTTTGAACCTCCAATTTGTACGGTCATTTTTCCATTGCATTAAATACTCCAAGGCTCGTTCTTGTCTGGGTGTACTAATGGCAGTAGTATTTTCTTCACATTTTTTTGCATTTTTTTGTTTATTTTTTTTTGCCTTCAACTTCTTTATATAATTCAATTTTTTCCGTTTGTTTAAGCTAATTAGTTTCAAATTGCTAGCACTACTTTTCTGATCATCTTTTTCACTTTTTACATCAGCTGCAAAAGTTACTCTCTTTTTTACTGGTACATCACATTCAAGATTTGCATCATTATCTGTAGATTTACGTTTTTTCTTATTGCGTTTTATGTCAGTTATTGATTTGATCAAACCATCAATATTCATATTTTTTTCAACCCCATTCTCACCATTAGCTAGATTTTCAGGAGCTGCGTTTTGGTTCTGCTCTTTTTCAGTTATGGTACGTTCTTTGCTAATATTATCTGTATCAATTTTAATGTAAGTATCTGCTGATGGTGTATAAAGAACATTCTTAGATTCATTCTTTTTTTTCTTCATTGCAGCAATTGGGTTTTTTATCTTAAACTTCTTTTTTAGAACACTTTTTAAAGACATTGTGTTATGGAAAATAATTAAAACTGATAGTATTAAATTTGAATGTTCTTTATTAATTTGTAATGAATGTGGTAATATGATACAACACAATCAATATTTTGTTCTTTTTAAAGAATACTAATTAATAAATGACGAGAGGTATAAAAGCCAGAAAAAAAGATTATTTTTTTATTCGGCTGGTGTAAAATGTTATAACTAAATTAGTATACAACTACAATTTACAACAGTCAAAAGTTTGATCCATACTCTATAATTTGACATGCCTCATTTCACAATAGTCTTGGTACTGAACACTCGTCGAAAAATTAAAAATACTGATAACAGCACTACAAAAGTTTAAAGTACGTATCACTGTATCAGTAGGTATTCACTATTCGATTATTGATTAATATAAGAGATGTTATATTATATTAACCTACAATTAAGTTTTAAGTTTTAAGCACGACTGTTGTAGATAGCTAAACCATGGTTTTCAGAGGTTTATTTACAAATAACAATAACCACGATTTAAGATATTATTCAGGTTAACCTAACCTAATCAACTATCTGAAACAGCTGAGAGCCGAGAATCACTAGCGCTCGTAGTGATTTAAATATGTTAAATTTATATAATATCTCAACGAAATGACAATGGAACTTAAGTTTTTTTTTTAAAGTTCAGTACTTGAAGAGATATATTATAATATAGTAGTGATCCATATTATAATACTACTTTGACCATTTTTTTTTAAGACAAAATACTTGTACTCTGGGTCTTCAAACGACACCTATACAGTGTACATAATATAATGTTAAATTGTTAAATGTTAATCCCCCTGCATGGAACACAATACATTAAATTTCTTCAAATAACCCCTGCCAGACTGTTGTAATATTAATGGGAACAGCTGCAAAAGAAAATATTTACAAGACGTTATCGTATAGCCGAGAGTCAAGAGCTCTTTATTATTATTTTTTTTTTATTAGGGTTGAGGCTTCGACAACAAAGATCATTAGCCTGTGGTACTGTACTACTGTATATGGGGGGAACTGTAGGTTGCTAACACGTGTGTGGGTTTTGGCAGAATTTTCAATTTGGGCAACCGTAGGTATCTGCCAGGGCCTAGCGGCTAAAATACATCTGATTTCAGGGGACACACTTATTAATTTAACTGTTACTTTTGGGCTTTGACAGATTTCTATAGCAAAAAAAAACCTGTGGGGTTTAAAACCCCAAAAATAACCCCCTCTTTTATATACCACTTACTCTGTACGTGAGTTAGTGAGGTAACTTTCACAAATATTTTAAATCACTAAAAGCAGTAAAAGCCTATACTAAGCCTTGTTTGTAGTAAATTGGGAAATATGTAAATATGTTTGTAGGTTACCATCATCAATTAGAAAATAATTAATGTAACGACATACTTTATAAGAATATTAAGGTTTTTTAAAAAACAAATTTTAAAATATTAAATATTAATATAAAATATATATAATATTTTAAAAATATTAGAAAATAATATTGGGCTTGTTAGTTAAATAAACTGTTATAATATAATATTATTATGTAGGTATGTAGAACCTTTTAGTTATATTTATTAAACAAGGAAAAGTAACTAGCTAATTCTTCAAAGTCCAATTTATGATTATAATTATCTGTTTTTTTAAAAAAATATTTTAACATATTTCAGACTTAAAATAAATAAAAACACAATATACCTACCTAACTATATAATTTTATGACAATATGCTATAGTTTACAATGCTCTTACTAGTTAACTCTTCAGTACCTATAGGTTTCAGTAAACAATATTGTATTTCAATAGACACAACATAGAATAATTTAAATATATTATGTACTTGTATGTTTAGTTGTTTAATATATTAAGGCAAGTGCCTACTTACTTTGAATTGATCAATTATCATTTCTTCTTCTTTTTTATAACAAACTTGTCCATAGTGTAGAAATAAAATAAGTAATTAGTTAAATTAGTTAACAGAATAGGTAACTATTAAATAAAAATATTAAATGATTAATGTTTGTTATTTCTACAAAACTAAAAAACACGTCATAAAACTTGGGACACAATATTTTAGCCCCTGGCGCCACCCCGCCACTATCTGCCATGCCCGTGTGGGGGATGGTGGCATTTGTTCTCCGGACACCGTGACTTGCCCGAAGAAAAATGCCGCCCGTGACCACGGGATCGAACCGGCGCCGGCAGCGTCGCAACCGATGCCTTAGACCGCTCGGGGCTCGGCCACTCCGTCCCCCCCTTTATTATTATATTTTATTTTACATAATGTTTTGTTACATAGTATTATATACTATATACTATATAGTACCTATATTATTATATTATTAATTATTATATGTATTTCGGTCAATGAAAATCAACTATACATAGGTATAACCAGTGGCGCCGAAACCAAAAAAATTAGGTAGGGCTAACTTTCAAAATTATGAGACACCACCACCCCCAGACCAATAATATTTGACGTTTACAAAAAATATTTGATTCACCAGTATAGTTTCAATCTATAACACATTTTTAGATTCTGAGTGAAACGATGAATGTATTGATTTTACAATGATGTGTGTTTTTCTATTTTTTTATTTTTTTATTTTTTTATTTTTGTGTCTGTGTACACGATAAGTAGTCGAAATAATGCTTCGATTTTCGACTTCAGTATCTTGTTCGATTGGAAAGTGAATATCGTTGATGTATTGAGAAGGTCAATTTAGGAGGTTTAAAATTCACAGTACTTTTCAAAAGCGCCAAGAAAAACAAAAGAAAAATTAAGGAAAAATGGGAATTTTTACCCAAAATCGATTTTTCAGAAAATTGAATTTGGTTTTTGGTGTAACTTTAAAACAAATGACCTTAGATACATGAAATTTTCACTGGTTGTTTATATTTGCATTTTCTATACACGATAACATTTTCAAAATATTTTGATTTATTTTGAACTGTTTAGGGACATTTTCATTTTTCATTTTTTTTTTAGTTTTTTTTTCTAGAAATATCAATAAAATTTTATTTGTCGGTTAAAAAAACTTGAAAATTTAATAGAAGGCCCTAGTATATTGTTTCAAAGGCAGATGAAAAATATTAAAAATCGTTAGTCACAGTTTTTTTTTTTATAAGCATTTAAAGTTCAAAAATTGACAAAATATGGAAAAATCACGAAAATTAGCAAATTATTTTGAGTTAAGAATTCGTAAAAATTTTTCTTTTTAAATCTAAGATTTGAAAATGTAATACAAGATTACTCATAAGTTTGTCTACCTTTATCAATAAAAAAATCTCTACCGGACAGTCAAATTAAATTTTTATGAGCGTTTGAAATTCAAATTTTTACAACATTGGATATTCACTCGATATCTCATGTAGCGATTTCCTTATTTTGTTGTTATTCATAAACGAATAACTATAGATACATGAAAATTTCACTGAATGTTTATATTAGTATTTTCTATACACCATACAATTTTGAAAATATTTTGATTCTTTTTGAGCTGTTTACGGATATTTTCATTTTTAAATTTTTTTAGTTTTTTTTTCTATGAATATCAATAAAGTTTTATCTGTTGGGCCAAAAAGTGTAAAAATTTAATACAAGGCTCCTGGTATATTGTTACAATATCAGTTGAAAAATATTAAAAATACATAGGCACAATTTTTTTTATAAGCATTTAAACATCGAATTTTGACAGAATTTTTCAAAATCTCGAAAATTGTTAATCATCGTAATTAATAAATTATAAAATGTTCAGTTTTTATAGCTAAGGATTGGAAATTTAAAACAAGATTCCACGTAAGTAGTTAATTCTCTTACCGAAAAATCTAAAAAATATACAATCACAGTTTATTTTTATAGTCATTTTATGTTCAAATTTGGACGAAATTACATATTAAAAACCTAGTTATTTTATTGTGATTATATAATATTATTCGTGGGTACCTACTTGAAACTTCTAAAGTGTACTATTATATATCTATGATAGTATCAGGGTTTGTTATTGATGTTGATGTATAACGTGTTATAAGTACCTAATGGATATTGTGATAATGTAATATGATTAATTTGGAATTTATTATAGGTCAATTTTTTTTTAATACCATTGATATGTATATAATTTGTCTTAAACCTAGACTGACATACCGTCTTCGCTCAGAATCGTTTTTCTTATACAATGATATTGTATCATTGAATTCAAATTTAATAGCATCCATTATACAGTGACCCACTTGTAACCTACTGTACAGCAGAGCGACATCCACTTACCCACCTTTATATTAGGTAAACCTTATCAGTAATCGTTATACATACTTTTATTTTGGATTGAAATTATACCAACATATTATACATAATTCCAAATTGACTTACTAGACACTATAGTTATGTTTTAAAATATAACTTATAAATATTTTATGCTTACTATGGTTTTCAGGTTAACAAGATAATTATTAGCACTACCACAAATTAAGTTCTAACTATTAGGTAATAGGTATTATATGCTATGCTATTATGTGTATATGCAATGCTTCCACTGATATGCTTTTTTTTATTTGATCATTGAATAGACAACGACCGTGTTACCTAGCATACTATATTTACTAACTAATTATCATGGTTTTAATTATTCTGTATTTAGGCTGTAGATTGCCTGTAAGGCTGTAAAGGCGTAGGCTACAAAAATAAGTCCAGGTATAAGTAACTCGTTGACACAATCACTGAACCACCAAACCACCCACCCACCACCTAAATATTATGAGGTAGGGCATCCGCCCTACCTGAATATAGGGTTCGGCGCCACTGGGTATAACATATTATTGTTATTCATTTCTACGGTTGCGGCCCAAGGTAATCTTTTTACCTTTCCACCTATCCCGATAATAGGTAGAAAAGTATACTATTTAAGTGATTATCAAAACGAAATAAATTTGCGTTCGATACGTATTTTTACATAAATATAACTATATCGTATTCACGGTTCACACTATCACCAATATTCG